GTTCTTTGACACTTGAGGAACTTTTTGCTCCTCGAGAAGCTGGAATCCCCCAAAGCCCGCCGGCCGAAATTTGACCCCGGATTGAGATCCACTCGGAGCGGGGAGAACGTGTCGTTCCATGTTTCAGTGTTTCAACTTTGCCGGTAAAAGGAGCCAGTCATGAATAGCGCTTGTTCCTGACGGTCTGTTCCGCCCACGCCCTTCCCCAATGCCATCGGACAGAGCTTCTTTGGATGACCGCAAGCTGGAAGTCATCTGAAGCAGGGATCTTCAACCCTTCGCGAAGGTTGACATGCGACGTCTTGGCTCCTGTGGCTATCAGGATGCTGATTATCATGCATTTGTGTCTTGTTGCGGAACCTGGGCCGCATCGTCACTCCGTCGACAGCCTCAGCGATTTGTCTCCCTACGCCAACTTGAAGGCTACACATGGGTTATCTCATCGGGGCTGAGGTCTCTCGGCCGTCCGCGTACTCGTCTTGTCTGGTTTGTCTCTTCAATGTTGTGGAACCAAGGTCTGGTTCTCACTCCGGAGGGAGCGAAATAGAGCACCTTGTTTTTGCTCGTCAACAGGCTTGGCTGCTTCGCTGGTCGGCAATGCGGCCGAAGTATTCGGATCAACGACATATTATCGTCCAATTCCGAGCTGCCGTTCCTTCGCGCGCCACACGAGATCCCACAAAATCAAAATCGGCCTGCTCCAGAGTAAGAAAAAGCAATGTCAAGCATCAATGCCGCCCCGCTTTCAACAAAATAGTCTCAAGGCCAGGGAGTTAACTTGAGGGCTGAGTGTGTCATGTGAGCTGCATGACGGCCTGCTGGTTAAACCGTCTCTTCGCCTAATGACCCATGAGTCCGTCGAATTTGCTTCTCTGGGTCAACTAAGAAAATCGGAAGGCATTATGCCGCAGGCAAACGCCATGCCTTTGAGGAACGGCATGGTACACAAGGCCTTCGACGTTGACGATGTCTGGGGAGCTTTGAACGGGCAGCATTTGATCGACAGCAAGGACCCCGGGATGATCTGGATGGTTGGCCAAGTCGCTTACCGCCTCATGTTTGCTTTTCCAACCCCGGGCCAACTGGACTTGCATCTCAACGACGCACGCTGCCAGCAATCGCAATGAGACAATGTTAGCCACTAGGACTTCGATCTCGCGGCCGGTCATCGTTGTGTGATGTCGATGTGGCCAACAAACCCTAATATCATTACTGGTGTTTCCCATGGCGCATCGCTTGATTATGAGCCACCTAGACACATGCCCAATGCTGTTTCACTCGCATCACCGCTGAAGAGTGCCACACCGCTTCATGCTGTGCCATGTTTAGAGTACAAGACAGTCACCGCTTCTGGGATGTCGGTGGCCCTCGTGAGGCACTGGCGGTATGGCAACGGGTGGCTGCATCTGCGAAAGCCAGATAGTAACAACCGATGCTTCGGGAACCGAAATTTGTGGGCATCTCACACCGGCACTTTGAAATGGAAGGCAACAATTCGTTTGCCACCACGGCTCTGGTAGTGTGGAACGTTCAAAGTGTCCATGGCGATGACAGCGATCTGCAAGGGCAGGTATTTGCGGCGAAACTTTTGTATCGCTGGGTTCAAAACGTTGAGAAGCTGGTGCCAGATGTGAAGATGAGGTTGGAAGGGTGCTTGTCGTTGATCAGATCCAAAGAGCCATGGTTATCGTCGTTGTCGAGCGACGTTTTCGAGCCTTTGCTTACGCCCTCTCCCAGACGCATGGATTCGATTCCGCGTTCCTACTGCCGACTCCGCTGACCGAAAGACTCCTTGATATTGCTGAGGCTTGTGTTCGCTCCTGCGTGGCCATCGTCCCGATCGAATCCTATTTCCAAGCCTCCAGTCCAGTCCAGGAAGTTGTTAATCAAAGAGCGGATTTGGATTGAGGATAGTAGACTTTCTTGACGCCAACGTCGTCTTCGACTGTCAACCTTGTCTGGCTTCGGACCGGCATACGATACTCCGGTGGTTCGGGGACCGGGGCCCGCTTATCGGAATGTTGTGGGGACGATCCGTCGGTACGGCTGTCCACTCGGCGATACCTATCTCTGGTGGAGTAGACGGGACGGAGGACCCATCCCATCTGTGTGCCGGAAGGTACCTTAAAGATGCCGAGGTCCAGTGCCACAGTGTGGCGTCCATTGTGGCCGAGGCAGCCGGATACTAAGGTAAGGTCCGAAAGGGGTAAAGCAGCTCGGGCCTTTTCAGCATTACATCGGACCTGGAGAAACATGGGTGGTTCAGATGAAAGGTGATGGGTGTACCGAACGGGAATGCAACGTCGTTTTCTTTCATAAGGCTCGGTAATAATGAAGGAGATGAACGCCTCGTGTCGTTCTTGCAGAGGGGCTGCAATTCCAGAAAATTCTCGTCAATCTTCCCAAAAAGGATGATCTGCGACAACGAGAGCCGGGAGGCGGAGCCGGTGAAAAGGCTATGCTTAGATCGCTGTGGCCCGGACAGGGTGAAATTTGCAGTTGTTGTTCTTGTGCAACTGGCGATGGACGGTGGGCGCCGAAGGGGCGTTGAAGTGCCCAGACACGTCCATTCGCATGGTGTAATTTTGTGCATAGGGCAACGAGAAACGTGGACCTGGGATAGAGAGGCTCTGTTGCTGGAGGCGTGATGTGGGCCGTGCTCCATCAGCATGGACCGAAGGAGCTGATTACCGGAGCGTTGAAGCTATTTCTGGCATCGGGAGGTTGCCGGCTCCAAAAGGTAGAAGAGCCGGAGAGATGAAGAGCGTTCCGCATGTCCTTCTAGAAGAAGAAAGGGAGAGGGCCGTGGGTAAAGCAGGAAGTTGGTTTTGATATTTGCATCGTGGGTCTTGCAAGAGACCATGACCATGGACAGCAGTCAGCGTGTCGTTGTCATTTCAAGACCTTCAGGAGGCAGACCGGGCCAAGGCTGGCGGATAGGAGAGGCTGATTATCGTGATTGCAAGATGCGGTCGAGATCGAGTGGAATAAGCGCCGCTGTCCGCAGTGCATTTCCCATGACCTTAAAGCGGCAGATAAGGTGCCACGAAAAAGGGCAAAGGGGAAGCGAGGCGATGTGAGACGAGGCGAAAAGAGGAAGCGAGAAGAGGGGGGAAGGAGAAGCGAGCGCCAGGACGACCAACTCCCAAGGCCGATTGACGGTTGACCGGGAGGAGAGCAGAGGAGAGCCGAGCGAGAGATGAGATTCGACAATGCTTTGAATGACGAGAAAGGTGGATGGATGAATGAATGCACTCATGGATAATGGCTGATAGCCGTAGGATTGTTGTTCTTTTTTGGACTTGTTTGTTGTTGCCGACGCTCTTGCCTTCTCGAAATGGATGTCACCACGACGCTAGACCGCGTGTTGGACTCGAGGCCCCACAAAAGACGAGCCCGCAGTGGATGCTGATTTGCGAGTCCAGATTGCTCAGAAAAAGGGGAGTCCCAGGTTTTTTCGTCAGAGCCGCCCAGCAAGCGCAGCCAGGAAGGCAAGGCAGGCGCAAGGAAGGCAAGGCAAATCCAGGAAAGAGGAGAAGGAAAGAGGCAGGCTCACTCTTGCACACGAGCTCACGGGCCACTTCAAAATGCAGGGGGCCAATGAGCTTAGTTCAGAAACGACCATCGGCCGTCCAATAACCGGCGCCGTTTCGTGGCGTTTACTAGGGTAGACCCGCTCTTTTCAGGCACAGATGTCTTGGATTGGTCAATGGCGGAAATTACAGCCGCCCGTTGACGAATCGTTCGCGCCTGTCAGATGCGGGCTCAATCTTGGACCGATGCCTCCATTCCAAGGATTACCATGGGCTGTGCTGGCCAGAATGGAGTTATCGCCCGGGTCTAGGTCCATTTTGCCAATGGTTCAACGGGGAATCTCCCATGCTCCTATGGATTCCCGAGGAAGGGAAGGTGGGAGGCTCCAATAAGCCACCTTCCGCTCCTCTCTCCTTCCCGCCGAGTCGTCAGTCGAGTCTTCCGTTGGTCGAGTTGTGCCTCGATAATGACGGGATGCACTAACGCAATCCCAAGGAGGGCCTTTGCCGCCCTGTGCTGTGCGCGTGCTTATGTAGGTACGAGTCCAGCTGCATTACATTCGACATGGATACAAGGCCAATGAATCCTTCCCATGGCATCATGGGTATTTTCCTATTTTCCCAAAATGGGAATGGCTCCATCGTTCGTTCCTGGCGAGCTCCTCCAGCGTCCAATGCCCGGCGCCCGGCAAGCCAGCGGCCCAGTGCTCGCCCACACCACCAACTGTCCACACCGCACACTTCTGGTCCAGGCTCAGCAGGCTGACACCCCCTGTCGCTCATTTCCAGGACATATCCCTCCTTCGTTCCCTTCTTGATCCTTCTTCTCCTCTTCTTTCCTTCCCTTCTTCTTCAACAACTTTTGTTCAATCGTCGTCGTCCTTGCTGTTCGTTGCAGGACCGTGTTGTCACTCGCTCTCTACCAAAAAACCCCTACAGTCATTCCCTAATATTTTCCCCTTTGGAATTCCAGCTTTCACTCACTCGCTGTCTTCCGTCCAATCGTTAATACCGCTACTATCCTCCGATACCTTACCATCGAGAAAACCCATCAAAATAAAACCACCAATCCAAAAATAACACACAAACGACACGAAAGACAACTGCATTCTTTACGACTTTCTTCTGACGGCCCACCAAGAGAGAACTTAATCCCTTACGTACGTGCGAGACCCCTTCGACCACCCCACGAACGCTCGAAAAGACTTCCCTGGACCGTTGGCCGGTGAAAGCAGGGAGACTCGGAATGGGTCCCTTTGTGTTGCCTGACAATGCTCCAGATTGTCTTACATGCCGCCGCACCCTCAAACAACCGCCAACAGTACTCCCTTCGCGATGCTAACATGTCACTGCTCTACAGCTTCGTTCCCTCTCTAATAATTACCTCGAATACCGCTCCCTTCCCACCCCACGACTACTCCGCTACAAGGGACATTCAGTAATACCAAGCGTCACGAAACCGACACAATGCCTTCCATCCAGAACCTCCTTTCCCGCAACTCCTCTCCGGTCATCCGCCGCAGCGATTCTCACATCGTTGTCCGCCGTGGCGATGCCTCTGATGGCGGCGACATGCTCAACCTCATGATCGTCGTTCTCGCCCTCATCTTCTTCGCCCTCCTCCTCATCTCCACACTCTTCCTCATGCGCCGCATGCGCAGACAACAACGCATGCAGGAGCAGATGCTGCCCGCCTACCAAGAGGTCAAGGGCGGCAGAAACCCCCACAACCTCACCATCCAGACGAGCCAGGACGGCCGGTCAAGCGTCCTGTACATCGGCCAGGATGGTCGCTCTCCCATGCTCCAGAACCCCCAGTCCGCCCCTCACTCTCCCGACAACGTTCCCGAGATCCACATCACCTTCCCCGACGAGCAGGACGAGGGTGGTCGCCACAAGAGCGGCCGCGTGTTGGTCGTTCGTGTCGGTGACGGTGGCTCCGTCGGTCTCGAGCCCGTCCGCGATGAGCAGCTGCCTGCGTACGAGAAGGACAGCAAATCGCAGTTCTACTCTGTCGACATCGACTCGATCGGCGGCCTGCGCGAGAAGGAGCGTTTCAACTAAATCCCCGGACTACGATTTCACCGGTTTTCAACTTCAAGTGTCCAACTGCCCGGACAACTCTTGTACAGATCGGCACCCGCTGTACAAACTATTCAGCATTTTTTCTCATGGCATGGCGTTCGACGAAACACACTTTATACCCTGCGCACACCGATGACTTTGATCCTGTGCACCATCCACAAACGGAGGGCCGGCTGCGTTTGAGGAGTTGGTCGTGCATCGGACATTTTTTGGATACGGCTCTGGGCGCGAAAACATCACGTATATATACTTAACGACTACCCCGGGAGGCCTATCCCGCGTGTGAACTACAGGAATCACCGTGTGGTGTAGGCGATCGTCGGGCTGTAGAATATCCGTATATTCTAATGCTGTATAATTCAAACAACCAATTATCGTACAATCTGCCCGGTCGAAAGTGCCGCATGCCTAACTACCATCTCGGTGTGATGGTCTTGTCCAACTTAATGCCCAGGAGCTACTCTTCCTGACTAGCTAGCTGCAAGAATTGATCGGGAATTTGCACAGCAGCAGTTCATCTCATTTACCGGCTGGCCGCCGTGGCCTGGATCGAAGTCAGCGTGGCAGATGCACGCGAGCGGTAAGCCACATCCATCCAGCCGGTACAGAGAAGTCATCACTCGTTGAGATGGACGTTGCTTATTCGATGGATCTACAAGGCTGTAAACTGACACCGTTGATCAGTTGATCACCGCAAATTGATGACATATCACCAGGTTTTGCAAAGAGATCGTCGTCAATCCCCGAGTCAGATCACACCTTGGTCGACGCACTCTCGAGCAACGCCGCAGCCACTGGAGACCCCGGTTTTCAGACCCACCTTCGCCGGATCTCGCCGGATATCACCAACGGGTGTCGGCTGTGCGACAACATGATGCGCATCGCCTTTTCGAACTGCATCTCAGCCAGTCGCATTGGGTCAAATGAGATGAGATGTGGGTTTACGTGTCACGGCCCTGGGGAAGGCGGGATCGTGGGGCAGAGCTCGTGTTCCCATATATCTTCAGTGGCGGCCGGCTCCTGCGATCAATGCAGACCTCACTTCCCGAGTCTTCAACTTACGCTGCCTCTCAGTGCTTGACTTGGGCCCTGCATTCCATATTTGCATTTGCACAGTCGTCAATATGGCACCGTCTTCCGAAATCCCTCCTCCATATGAGCTGCCACCTAAGCCCAGCGGGCTGAAGGTGGACAAGCCCAACTTCATCATCTTCATGCCGGATCAACTCCGCTACGACTCTCTGGGCTGCAATGGCAACAAGGTAAGCGCTCCATCTCGTCGCCTCAAGAGTTCACCATACTAACGGAACAACAGACAGTCAAGACGCCACACATTGATAGCTTCGCAGCTGAGGGCACCCGCTTCACGAACTGCTTCGTCCAAGCCTCCGTCTGCACCCAGTCCCGTTGCAGCATGTTCACCGGCAACTACCCTCACGTCTCGGGCCACCGCTCCCTCGAGAACCTCATCAAGCCCTGGGAACCCAACCTTTTCAGGTCTCTGAAGGAAAAGGGCGGCTACCACGTCGCCTGTCTCGCGCCACGCGGCGACACCTTTGCGCCGACAGTGACTGAGATGTCGCTAGACGAGTACGGCTTCCTCGAGACGCCCGAGTTCGTGCCGCGGTTTGCCGGGGGCGGTAAGGCCGAACCCGAGGACAAGGAGGACATTTGGAAGAGGCTTTTCTACAAGGGCCTCAGAAACCCCAACGAGGCTCTCGACTACGATGATGCGGTCGTCAAGGGCGCGCTCAAGTGGCTGGAGCACCCGCCTACTGACAAGCCTTGGGTCTTGTTTATGCCGCTCATTTTCCCGCACTGCCCGTTCCAGGTGGAAGAGCCGTACTTTTCGATGTACAACCGCGGAGAGATGGGACAGCCCACCAAGCCTTCCGACAAGGTACGTCCAGCTCCCTTTCTCGCAGCAGCAATCTCCACTGACACTGACGTACAGACGGGCTACGAGCCGCGCTACATGCAGCTCAATCGCGAGCGCTACGGCACGCACCGCGCGACGCCCGAGATCTGGGCCGAGGTGATGGCGACCTACTACGGCATGATCTCGCGGCTGGACGACCAGTTCGGCCGCGTCGTCGAGCGCACCAAGGCCCTCGGCCACTGGGACTCGACCGTCACCCTCTTCTTCACCGACCACGGCGAGTACCTCGGCGACCACGGCATGATCGAGAAGTGGCCCTCCGGCCTCTCCGACTCGCTCACCCACGAGCCCCTCATCGTCGGCGGCGCGGGGCTGCCGCGGGGCGTGTCCTACGACGAGATGGCCGAGATGGTCGACCTCGTGCCCACGGTGCTCCAGTTCGCGGGCGTCGGCGAGCACTTTCCCCACTGCGGGACGTCGTTGGCGGAGATCCTGACGGCGGCCGGGAAGGACGGGGAGGGGAAGGTGTTGAAGCACAAGGACTTCGCGTTCACCGAGGGCGGGTTCCTGACGAGCGAGGAGCCCTTGCTGGAGCAGGCGCCGTATCCGTACGATATCAAGGCGGCGCTGCAACACGAGGATACGACGGTCGTGGGGAAGAGCGTGTCGTGTCGTGATAAGAAGTGGGCGTTCATTTACAGGTTGTACGAGCCGGCGGAGTTGTACGACCGCCAGGGAGATCCGGGCGAGCTGCACAACTTAGCAGAAGTCGCGGAGTATCAGGATGTAAGGAGGCGGATGGAGGGCGTGGTGTTGAGGTGGATGGTCGCGAGCAGCGATTTCTTGCCGTGGCAGAAGGACCCTCGGTTCCCGGCCGTCGAGCTGGAGAGCGTTGCGGACCAGTACCGGAAGAGAGGCGGCGTTTTGAGTGACGGAAAGGCATGAGTTCCCGTGTCCGCCCTATATAGAAATCATCACGAATTCCAAAAGTTTCCTTCACAAATTGTCCGAACATGTCCGCAGAGATGCTCCGAGACCGGGCCCACCGTCCTTCCAGAGCCGCCTCCGAGAGGTGGGTCCCAGCACCGAAGTCCGGTCCGGCTCACAGAAAGGAGCAATAAGCTTAGCGATTCAGCTTTCGCCAACAAAACAGCCTGCGCAATGACAGATCACCCAACAAGTTGCTGGCAAGAACACCCGACCGACTGCGGTATGTGGAATTCCGGGACAGCTCCACCGAATAAGGACGACGGGGTCGCGTATTATTTGTAAAGGAGACACGCGTATCGAATGTGGCGCTGGGCTGTCCGGTAAAGCGGCACGTTGGTGATGAAGAAAGATGAAGGCGCAGGGGGGCCCATTGACATGCGCATCCGCGGTTCTCGTCTCAACTTTCTTTCCTTGACAATCTCGGTAGCATCTATTTTCAGGAACAAGTCCATCGACCTTGCATGTCGTGGATCTTCCTTTCTTGCCTGATCTGCGATCTGTACTCTCAGGAGACAGACGGGATTAAAAACTCTCCATGGAGCTTCACTGAAGAGACACCGAGTAAGAGACAGGCAAGGAGGTGGATCACATCGCAGGAGACAAGACCAAGGACCCCAAGCCAGACCAGACAAATCCCCAACACGCATGCCAAGGCCATCTTTTTAAATTTAACTTTAAACCGAACATTTTACACTCTTTCGGGACATTTCTGCCTGCCCTGCTTTGTCTCGTGGCTGCGCCCGACAACACCTCCCACAGAAGCTGTTTGGAAACATTGCCATGCAGCCAAGGGGGTGCAGTGTTGCAGGGGTGTGATGTTAGCTTCAGGTGCTTAGCTGCTCTTAGCTCGTCCTGCAGCTGCAGCATCAGCAGCGACGATGTCACCCGGAGTCTGGGAAATCTGACACCCCCTGGATCTGCAACAGCAGCTTCTTCCCCCCTCCCCCCACATCCACAGCAAAAGATGGAGTCGCTTCTGCTACACATCTGACACGAGCACGAGCGCAACAACCCTTTACCCCCTCCCCTCCCCATTGATTCAACCACCTCCCTCCTCCGAACCGCCCATCAACGAGGATCTTGACACAGGAAACATAGCCCGCGCCGCTGGCGAGCACGCCCCCCGGTTCCAGCACCTCAAACGAAGCAAACATCCCCAGCGTCCCATTGGGCCGGGGCCGTCACGGCTTCACGAGTCGCCTAGCCTTTCCCTGATTTCTCTCGTTACAAGACAACCTTACCGAGGCGGGTCGCATTTTCTCTTGATTCGGGACTCGTTCTGGGGATGATGGATTGACACGGGGGCCACGGGATGCGCTACCAAGCAAATGAACGAACATGGGAAGACAAGACGAGAACCACTCCGTTCCCTCCCCCGGGGCATCAGAATCCGGACTAGCCAGACCGGGCACTTACGGGCAGCGGAAGAAGCAAGAGATTCTGTACCTCGTACGCAGCAAAAAAGCCAGCAATATGAACACCAGGCACAGGCACGCAAGCCAAACCTTTCCCAGGTTCCGGGGTCGACGAAGCTCGCGGACCTTGTCACGTCCTTCCCGCACCCGCGACCCATCACCACCAACGCCAAATCCTCCCCATGTCACACCCCCGCGAGCATCCCAAACGCTGGTCCAGCCCAGCCTGCGCCGAGCTCGAACCCCGTCCCGCCATGCTTCAAGTCGAAGCGCCAAGGGTCCTGACGCCGCTTGCTTCTTTTCTTCTGCTTGACTTTATATTATCCCATATCCCGCCCTTCTTCCTTTCCACCAGAAAGATAGTTTCGGGGTTGAGCATAGATTAATGGGACGAAGTAGCGTCTCTTTCTCCTTCAGTCTTCTTCTCTTCTACTTCATCTTTGGCGTTGTGTAGATCACAATCAGGCAGGACCAGAAATCGTTTGTAATATTCAAAAAAGGCAGCAATCATGAAGGGCTCACTCCTCCTACTGAGCGTAAGCTCCGCCCTCGCCTTCCGCGACTCCATCTCTTCTCGATCCGATGAGATCTGCATCTCCTCCCAGCTCCTGACGGCCTCCTCCAGCAACCCCATCTGCCGCAACAAAGACGGCGTCCATCTCGCCAGCTCCCGCGACTCGCAACAGAGCCCCCTCACGAGCTCCGGCTCGAGCTTCGCCTGGACGAAAAACACGCCCTGCTTCAAGAACGGCACCGCCGCTCTCGAGTTCTGCATCTACAACAGCGCAACCTACGCGGGCAAGGGCATCTCCATCATCACCGACAAGGACCGCGCCGAGCACATCACCCGCAGCTGGGGCTTCACCAAGCCCGAGACGCTCGAGGGCACGAACACGCCCTTGCCGAAGTACCACGTCGCCGAGGTCCCCGGCAAGGAGTATGGTCTGGTCGCCACGCACCGCATCGAGAGGGGCGAGGTCATCATTAAGGAGACGGCGAGCTTGCTCATCGACTATGCCGCGTTCGCCAACGTCCCGCCGGAGCAGATGAAGACGATGCAGGCCCAGGCAGTGGACTTCCTTCCCTTCAGCCACCGCAGCCAATGGCTCAACATGTCCTCCCACGGATACCGCGGCGACCACCTGTCCATGGTTGACAAGATTCTCGTTACGAACTCGTTCGATGTTGAGATGGACGATGCCAAGCGTGATGACGACTTCTACGCCGTTTTCGTGAACAGTAAGATTTCCCTCGCTCTCATAATCGGAAACCATGATTCTAACACCACAACAGCCTCGCGCATGAACCACGACTGCCGCCCCAACGTGGACTATTGGTTCGACCCCCGCACCCTCACCCAGCGCACAACCGCCATCCGCGACATCATGCCCGGCGAGGAGCTCACCCTCTCCTACATCGACCCCATGCAGTCCCGCGCCGCCCGCCGCGAGCGCCTGCACTCCACCTGGGGCTTCCACTGCTCCTGCCACCACTGCATGCAGTCCCGCCTCAAGACGGACGCCTCGGACGCCCGCATCGAGCAGATCGCCCTCCTGCGCGAGGAGTTCAACGACTACACCCCGGCCTCCCGCGCCACCCCGCAGATGGCCGAGCTCCTCATCTCCCTCTACGAGCAGGAGCACAACTGGAGCCTGCTGAGCGAGGCCTACACCCTCGCCGCCATCGAGTACAACGGCGTCGGCGAGCCCTGGCTCGCGACCAAGTACGCCCGCCTCGCCATCGAGTACGGCCTCACCACGCTCTGGGAGGGCCACGGCGACGTCGTCGAGATGACCAAGCTCGCCGACGACCCCTGGTCCCACTGGAGCTGGATGCTGCGCACGCGCAAGAGGTACAGCTGGGGCGAGAAGAGGGTCATCGAGGTCGACGAGGACGAATAAGCGTGCGGCTGTCGTAACGACACGGACGAAAATGTTGTAGATGTGTATGCATTTGATTATATATCGGTGATATATCTATCGGTGGGAGGCTTTTCCGGGTTCAGGCGTATGGGGAAAATAGGGCGTTACACGGTTTTCGGCTGGGATGCGATATAGCATTTTTGAGACGTTCGAACAGAATTCAACACCTTCACTGCATTACTGGCATCATTTGACTTGTTGTTGTCCGCACAAGACGAGTTAGGTGAAGGTTATGAGTTTGGTTACGTGCGACATGTAATGACTTCCACGCAGCAAATGCGTCAGACGGAGTAGGATGGGCGGTGCGGCAGATACCGAACCTGCGCTCTAGGCTACGTCCGTATGGCCTTTTCTACACGAACAACAATATTTCCGAAATTACAGTGAAAGTGATATTTCGACCAGTCTTAGTTCTTGATCATGCCGCATTTCTTCTCGCAAGCCAAACGGCGAAGCACGTTTCCACCCCGTTTTTACAACTTCCTTTTTCCGTACTAGCTATATCATCCCACATATGAAGATCATCCCCAGACACGCCGCCGTGTCTTGGGTCTCTCGTTCGAGTCCGAGCTCGTGGTTCATGTTGATTAAATAAATACCTTACGTAGGTACTCACTTGCCCCTCTCCATGACCTCACGTGAGGGAGTGACACAGATTACGTACTCATCGTGCAACGCAGAAGCCGCACATGGCAACAGAAGATATCTTGAAATTCGTGTATTTGAATTAGTCATTTGATGCATCCCGCCTAGAAGCACGCCGTACAAGAAGCCTTCTCCCCGATTCTCTGTGTGGTCTCCAAGTGTGTATGTCCGTCGCCTCATGACCGTCGTGTCAACGGCCTTCTGTCCAGCGTGCCTCGGGGTGTGTGTGTGTGTGTGTGTTGTACTCCCGTCGTTCCAGAACCTGGGTATCAAAGCCAAGAGATGCATGAGCCACCAAAAAACAAAACCCCGAAGAAATCATAAGAAACTCCGTGGAGATTAGCAATACCGTGAAACCAGAGAAGAGGAAAACAAAAATTTCTAAAAGGTGAGAGATGGGATGTGAGGTGGTCTGCCGTCCTTGTACCACTTCTTCGTGACGATGGAGGTCTTGAGCTTCGCTCCGGCGTAGCGCCTAGCCACCTCGGTCCATGCCTCCATCGTCCTGTCCCACGGCCTGAAGTCGAAGCTGCTTGTCCAAGTGATGCTGGCAGTCGTGCCGTCGACCTTGTACTCGAGTTCGTGCTTGCCGGCGTACATCAAGGGCCGCTGCTTGATGGTCATGTGCTTGAGAGCGGGCATCGTGTACGCCAGCCGTGCCGCGGCCAGCGAGACGACCTGGCGGAAGTCGACTAGGTCTGAAGACTCATTGATGTCGTCACTTTGCTTGTGCCATTCGGTATTGTACCAGATGGACCCGTATGAGATGTGAAGGGTCTCAAGGCGATAGAACGCGGGCTGGTAGAGGTGGCCTGAGATGAACGCCTCCGTGTCATCAGTATTATTGGGCCAGTGGGGCTTCAGGAACTCTCGTATGCGGACGACGTTGGTGATGTTCAAATGCTTGAGATGCTTCGCGGCACTCCGCAACTTCTCGCACAGTTTGACACCACTGTCAGCTTCTGCGAGGCCTTCATGGGGCAGTTGTCGCCATGAGGAAACAGTGTTGGACGATATAGAGAGCTTCTCCAGAGAAAGAGGCCATGCGGTCATGGAACCGGCGAATTCTGTGAATTATGTCAGTGAGAGTTTGAGGAAACGCCCGACAATTCGACTACTGACGGTTGAAGTGTATCTTGCGTGTCTCCTTTTTCCTATCTTTGAGGATATCGAAAGAAGCTTCTTGCAAGCCTGGCAGCCTTGCAACGATGTCGGCATGGGCTGCCGGCATCAACGCCCTATGATTTGAGGGACTTGCCGTGAATGAGCGAATTACTTTTACCGATGGCAAAAAGTTGGTCCGGGCGAACTCCTCGTCATGACCGATGAAGTCTATCCAGGAATCCGCGAACCTTTTCTCTCCGATATCTTTGATGTTCCATCTGCGTCGCTGCCACAGCTCGAAGTTTGCGTTACGAAGGTCGCTTGGTGACGAGATAGCGAGACTCAAGTCGACACCCCCGCGATATGCCTCTTCGAGGGTCCAAGAGTTCATCGAATGAAAGAGGCCACAGACGGCTCGGGTGAAGCACATGTTGTTTTCAGCCTTCTCTTCCCAGGTCTCCTTTCTTTCGCAGGGATCATTGTCGTAGGTGGGTAGTGAGACGTGAAGTTCGATACGTCTCAAGAGGCCGCGGCGAGAACCCACCATCATGGAATCGAACTCGCCCAAGCGTAATTGAGTGACGCGGAGGGAGGAAAAGTTGTAACGTTCAACGATGGCCTGCCACTCCTTACAGACGGAGGCGTAACCGGCAATAGAGTCTGATTCATCGCCATATCTCCAGTAGTCGACCAGACACTCGACCACAGTGGCACGGAGTTCCGGAGGGAGCTGATAGAACCTACGCATCTTGCTCACTTAGACAGGAGCGCCGTTTGCACCAGGTAGACGGGCGAGGGCTGTGAAGCGAGTCTGCAGGCCCCGCGGCAGAGCAGGTGAGGTTGCGGGATGAGACGACAGGAGGTTGAGTTGAGCTCGGGTGTAGCCAGCCTGTCACTCCCGCTGAGGCTGTGGTCGGTAAGTGTCGGTCAGAGAGAGGTAGGGCGGCGTTGGGAGGGACAGGCGGGGATGGCGCACCTGATCCGAGTCTGAGTGAGCTTAGGTAGAAGAGCCCAAGGCGTGAGTTAACGGTAACATGAGAGTACATGTGCCGAGTGGTGAGGGGCACGATTTTGGGTGCCGCGAGGAGCGAGGGGAAGTACTGCGACCCCGCGGGAGGTACAGGGTCGTGGTAAGGTAGCGACCCACTGGGCGTCGTCAAGTACCGGGCCGCTCCTCAGCGACGTGGTAATGGTTGAGGGCCTGGGAGACTAGCGAATGCGGGGAGGTTGGAGTGCCAGGTGACACTCAGTGTTGATGGATCATTTGGGTGGAAAACGCTGTATAAATCGAGCTGAGTTGAGCTGTTTCCGTAGGAGGAATTTCTTGGTAGGTAGGTGTCTGAGCAAACGAGGTGAGAGGCCTAGAAGCTGAATGTCTCTTCAAAATTTAAGAGTTAGGTCAAAAAGGAAGAGGGCACCTCTCTGTCCCGTCCGCTAGGGTCCTCCTGCCTCCCTGCCGCCAAGTCTTATCGTTACCTTGGTGGAGTGCATGTCGTTATCTCTGACCCGCTCTGCCGCTTATCGATAAGATCCATCACCTGCCCGTCCTCTGGCGAGAAAGTATTGATAGCCACCTCAGTTGCAGGTCTTCGAGATGCGTATTCGCACTTTCAGCGAGGGTCGTCTTTCTCTCAATGATTCAAGGGACCCGTTCCGTCCCGCAGATTAAAGGGAAGAGGGTCATCCAGTTTCGCAGTCTGTTCGGATGCTTCCATGTTCCAATGTCAAGCATAAATCAAACACGAGCCGATCTCCCTCCCCCAACATGGCAGAGCAAGACTCCAGTCCAGTGGCCACTTCTCCTGAAATCCGCCAGGCCAGACCCAGGCCGGGCCAGGCTTGCCAATTGCCAGACCACTCCAAGACAAAACACCAGACAATGTCCCGCCCACGACACACGACACAGGCACAGGGAACCTCACGGCACACGGGACACGGGATAATCACCGCCAAGCCGGTCTGCTTCAAAATTTCACCTCCCAAAGACTCAGGGCCCCAGGACTCCCCGCCACTGTTGCGGCGTAAAGGTGAGGCGGCCTGGAACCAACCGTCCCGATCGGTTTCACTGCGTCCAGTCTTCAGTGTCGGTGACACGTCTGCACTAACCAGCAAGGGCGCGGGCCAGATTCCAGTGGGGTTTCCAGTGCCTGCTGCTTCCCATCATCCAGTGGACCTCAATCCACGGATGGATCCTCACTGAATCAGGGCTAGTGCGGGGTTCCTGCTGCGCCCACTGCACCTGCTGGCATTTCTGGGCCTGCAGCACCTCACCATTTCCGATTCCCAGCGAAGATTGATGAGCGCCGTGCTGTGCTTTACTGTGAGAGGGTGCTACTGAAATGCAAAGGTGCTAAATATATGCAATTGGTGGAGAGAAATTCGAGTTGGAACCCTTGTTCATGCCAGGACTTTCAAGCTCCGATGACGAAACTTGGAAGGCGCAGCCTCTTTTCTTCTTTCTTCCTCTTTACCTTCGCATCCCCCTCCATCGTTCTGTCATTCGCTTTACCCTCATCCCTCCAACAAATTTGTGCGACCGAAAATCAGTCCTGATGATTGAAGCCGCCAGTATTCCGACCGCCCCTGCCATGGCGGACGCCTCCAAGGGCCTGCAGGCTCTTCGCGAGTCCAAACCCCCTGCGACCGACACTTTCACTTACCTGACCATCATCGGCGAGGTCCTTTCTCCTGAGATCTTGCCAGAGCTCAACGACATTCTTCGAGATGCCCAGCTCACCCAGGACATTGGCTGGGATCTGGTCGAGATGCTTGTTCCCATCCAAGGGAATGAGCAATGTCTCGAGACCATCGCGCAGCTCGGCAACCCCCGTGAGGTCATTCTGAAGGTGCTGGAGGTCCTCGAGAAGACCGTCGACGAGGCTACCGACGAGGAAGACGACGAGCAGACCACGGCGACCTTTGTTAACCTTGTCGGCATGCTCAGCATCCTCCACAAACGGCTTAACGTCGCGCGGCCTTCTCGCTTCGTTCACTCGACCCTCCAGAGCGTCTACCGCACCTATCACCCCCGCAATCCCGAAATGACGGCCGCCGTCATTGCCCTCATCCGTTCCTTGTCCGGCGACAAGCGCCCGCCGCTGCCCACACGTCAGTCCAGCAACAAGCTCGACACTCCTTTCAGCAAAAGCGATCCCACGAAGCATGCTCCTGATCCCGAGGCGGGAAAATCACAACAGCTCGCTCCGACCGAGCCGGCGACGACCAAGCGACTGCTGCAATCCTTCATCACCTGCATAATCGAAGCCTATGTCAATTGCACGAGCATGGAATGGGCTTCCCGTCTGCTCGAGTTCTACAACCCGGAACGCGTGGTGGTTCGCAAGAGCATGTTGCGCGCCTTCAAGGAGGACGGTAACTTTTTGGCGAGGGACGCTCTGGTTGGCCAGTTGGTGGTAAGCATTTTCATCTGATGTCACGGACGGACGAACTGCTAACGATAAATCAGGCACTTGCAGGAGATCTCGGATTAACTCGAGTGCATGATCTGTCTGTCAAGGAAATCTTCGAAGGTTCCATCGTCCACAGCCCCCTGTCCATCGAAACCGATGCTCTCAGCCCTGATGCCATCAAGCTTTCCACCGGGGGCGTTTGGTGTCTCGTCGCATACTGGCTCTTCTCGGCAGAGGTTTTCGACGCCGACTATGAACAGATTCAGATGACAATGTTCCCGGACCACATGAAGCTCTTGCAGGGCTTCCTCGGCGACGACCCTCAAGCCCGCATTGTTGGAAACCCAGGGACTACCGAAGCTCTGGTGGTCATGGGCCTGTGGCTCGAAAACTACAAGCGCATATCAACAACTGATGGCAGCGGGGACTTCATGGTCTATCACCATCTGCTGACGCTGGTGTCCGTCTTCCATCCGTCTCTTTCCGTACGGAACGTGGCGACATCTCTCGCCGGTCTCGTCCTGCACGACGACCCCGACGACAGCGATCGTCTCAAGATCTTGGAGGACCTCCTCGAGAACTGCATCTTCTCCGCTCTGCAAGCCTCTGCGGTGACATGGTTGCGAGAGGAGATCATAATTGCCCAGAAGCGCAAGCTCAAGAACAGATTTGCAACCACGGATGCTGTCGAAACCCTGCAGTACGCGTTGTTCCCGAACCTGGCCTTCCTCAAGGACCAAGACGCCACCGCTCTCTGGGAATACTGGGTGCAGAACTTCCCCTTCCACTTACAGCTCGCCAACTTTGCCTACTTCCTATTCTCCGGAGCCGGCTTCCACCACTTGGTACCGGCAAGCATGCCCGGTGCTGTCGAGCAGCGATACGTTGAGCCGCTGCTGCATGCGGCCAAGACTCTTCAGACGGCAGTCGAGAAGAAGGAGATCGACGACCAGGGGCAAGGCGGAGAGGTGGTAACGCAACTCGAGATCTTGACCATGCGGTTAAAGAGTCTTCCTTTGCAGTGAACCTTGTGTGCGTGTGTGTTATAAGTCGATGGATGTCAAGAGAGCCTCGGCTCCGGCAAGTCGAGCCGCTCTCTGACCTGAAGGATTTGCATTTTCGGGGCGGGATCATGGCGGAGTCTCTTATGAATTACGAATCACATAGTCTGCTGAGCAACGGGCAGCACGCAATTTAAAAACTACTGTTCCCAAAGCCCTCGTCGTCATGGCCGGCCTTGATGTTGCCGAACACTGGCTTTTTGATGCCGCAAGCTTACCCCAACAGTCCGGGTGGTTTCGGTAGGTTTTGGTATACGATGAATAACGCCCACTCCCTCAGAGCCACGGCAACACCTACGTCGCAATCCATCCTGGTGATCCTTCCTGAGAAGGAATAAGTGGCGGCACTACGGTCATATGTGCTGAGAAGCCCATTTCCTCTAGGGCCAGCAAAATACCCAGCCAACCCATCCGACCGTCATGATGCGATGCGATGGACCACGAGAGTAAACGCGAGGTTGGGCAGCTCCCGTATTTGACTGTTTCCAGAAGGGCCTGGATATCATAGCAAAGACATGTCGCTGATCAGCGCACCAGCGCGGACCCCTACACGGTAAAACGTGACACTTTACGTCAAAGCAGAGAAAGTGATACGAGCTTCTAGGCCCAGAGCTCAGCGATGCGTTGCCAGGGCGCGCATGTTAAAGCATTCCACCTTCCTGCAGCACATTCTGCGCGCGCCGACCGCGATTCATCTCTTTGCGTTGCGCAAATCGCACGTGTCATCCTATCACCCCCAAGTTGTGCTGATGAAGACCTCCCTCCCCCCCCTGCGGTGGGATGATATCTGAGCGGGCATGTTACCTCGAGTGGTCCGGTCCGGGCCTCCGAGAGCCGCATGCTTTGCGACAGGACGTGGGACTGCTCAACCAGATTGATCTGCGGTGCCGTGATGTTTAGCCCAAGTGCCGCGGATGGTTGGCGACGGGACCTGGACGGGAGACGTCAACTGTGGCGAGGCGTACGTGGCTGTGCGGTTCCGGTAGCCCAGCGACTCAGCCCATTGGCTCAGCAAAAACCAATCGACAACAAAGTGTGGCGCCATCAATGAATAGGTACGAAATGAGCTGAAGAGGGAAAGGAGGTCGGGACGTGCAGATTTGTTTGGTCGTGCAGTATCAAGGGGGTTGAGCCAATCTTGCGCACCGAGACAACTGGCAAACCCGTCTCACCCTAATGCCGCCGAGGTTGCACCCCAATCGTCATCCTGTTCCTGACAGCATGGACCGGCCAGAGCCGACATTGTGACTAGTATCGAGAGGTGCGTTGTCAATTTCGGTGCGATGTGATGCGGTACTGTAGGTAGCCTTCAAGACACAGAAAGAGGGAAACCTTGCTGACTTTCAGAGTGGTGGATGGTCGATTTGAACTGTAAACCGGGGCAGAGTCTCCGGCGACGGCCAACCAGATTGATTACCCCAGCACGAACCAATCTGGTCCAGCCAATGTGAGTTCCGGCGCACGGTCCGGGAAGGGGAACCCACTCACATCTTTTTGACAAGGGTGGGCCCTGCTCATTAACCGCTGCCGTGGGCAATCGGGGAGGGTGATGTCATCGGCCCAGGGGTGAGGAATTCCAGCTCGTGCTGCTGCTGCTGCTTTTTTTTTTTGCAGCCAGCAAAGCCAGCACCACTATCCGTACCACTGCAGGTCGGCTTGCAGAAGCTTGCTTTTTGGCGTGAAACTGCACCAAACAGAGAGGCCCTCGAGTCTGGCCCGATCTAGGTTTGCTGCTGAGCCGTCGGCGCTACTTGAGCCGCTCGCCTCTTGTTTTCCCTCTTTTTGCTTTCTAGCCTACCTACCCGTACACCTTGAGCTTGCACATCTAATAGCTAATTCCTCCTCTTGGCTCATCCGTACGTCAATGTTCGCATGATAATTCGCCAAGAAAAGGGTGACGCGACTCCCTTCACTGATATCCCTCGCCCTCATCAACCAAAACATCTCCTACCATTACACCACCTCCATGGCGATTCTGAAATACTGCGACTGATCACAACCGCAACTACACCACGCTCGAAAACTACTCACCCACCCACGCAATCACTACCTACCTACCATCCAGCAATCAAGGTGCGCAACTCCGCAAGAACAGCAACGCCATCATGGCGAACCCAATCCCGACGGCGAACGTCGCCCTAGGCATGACGGCGGACTCCGAGGCGGCTTCGACGCCGCAGTCCTCGAACCTCCACGTCGACGAAACGAACCAAGACGGACAGCGAGTCACCGTCTTGAAGGACAGTCATAACAACATCGTTTATCCTTCATACGTACCCCCTGAGATCGACTCGCCCCCCGACGCTCTATCGCCGCGATCCGCCAACGGCCCGCCTGCGGAAGCGGCTCGGCCCCAGAAGACGACCTCAGATCCCGCGGCTCTCGAACAGCCCAAGTCGCCCGCCTCAAACGACGGCCGTGAACGCCCTGCCATGGGCCAGAAGTCAAGGACGGAAGCACCTGGCCGCAGGCCGGTCCCAAGAGCCGGCCCCCAGCGGGCGGGGACGTCGTACTTGAACAGGGCTATTTGGCAGGCCAACACTCAAGATTCGGACACCACGAGCTCTTCGAGCGATTCTTCCGACGACGAAGACTCGACGCCAGCCGAGAGAAAGGCCGCGCAAGAAAAAGCAAAAGCCCGACGCCAACAAGATACCGAGGATCGATATCGCCGGTTCCGCGTCGGCAACGACGACTACAACACCAAAGGCAGAGTCAAGAGAGACGGACGTCTGAGAATCTCGGTCAAGGAAACGGCGAACACGGGGTACTTGGCCAAGGCTCTCGGACAGGCCGTCAAACGGGTCGTGCCACTTCACGAGGGCGAAGGCGATGGAGACGACCGACGCCCCGACATTTCTCGTCTCTCGTCCACGACGACGGCTACTGCGGACCGCGAACCTAAGCCGAAGTTGAACATCGTCATCATGGTCATTGGCTCGCGTGGCGACGCGCAGCCGTTCCTGAAGATCGGCAAGATCCTGAAGGAGGACTACGGGCATCGAGTGCGCATCGCGACTCACCCGGCGTTCCGCGAGTTCGTCGAGAAGGATTCCGGCCTCGAGTTCTTCTCTGTCGGCGGCGACCCGTCTGAACTGATGGCCTTCATGGTGAAGAACCCAGGCATGATTCCCACCCTCGACGCCGTCAAGGCCGGAGACATCGGGCGACGGAGGTCGGCCATGGCGGAGATGTTTGAGGGTTTCTGGAGAGCCTGTATCAACGCTACGGACGATGAGAAGGACGTCCACAACGCCAAGATGATGGGAGAAAGGGATCCCTTCATCGCGGACGCCATCATCGCCAACCCGCCGAGTTTCGCCCACGTCCACTGCGCCGAAGCCCTCGGCATCCCTCTGCACCTAATGTTTACTTTTCCCTACACCCCCACGCAGGCCTTCCCCCACCCATTGGCGAGTATCAAGAAGTCAAATGTGGATCCCGGATACACCAATTTCATCTCCTACCCTCTGGTCGAGATGATGGTTTGGCAGGGGTTGGGCGATCTGGTCAACGACTTTCGAGTGAAAACCTTGGGCTTGGACCCCGTTTCGACTCTCTGGGCCCCTGGTGCGACTTATCGACTGCACGTCCCCTTCACTTACCTCTGGAGCCCTGGTCTCGTCCCGAAGCCTCAGGATTGGGGAGATGAGATTGATGTTTCCGGTTTCGTCTTCCTCGACTTGGCATCGTCCTTCGAGCCGCCCAGCGACTTGGAAAAGTTCCTCGATGCTGGTGACGCGCCCATCTATATTGGCTTTGGCTCTATCGTCGTCGATGACGCCGATCGTTTCACCCAGATGATCTTCGATGCCGTCAAGATGGCAGGAGTCCGCGCTCTAGTGTCCAAAGGGTGGGGAGGGCTGGGAGGAGACGAGATGGACGTGCCAGACAACATCTTCATGCTCGAGAATACCCCTCACGACTGGCTATTCCCACGCGTCAAGGCCTGTGTGATTCACGGCGGCGCGGGAACCACCGCCATTGCCCTGAAGTGCGGGAAGCCGACCATGATCGTCCCGTTCTTTGGAGACCAGCACTTCTGGGGCAGCATCCTGTCGAACTGCTCAGCAGGCCCCGAGGCGGTACCGTACAAAAGCCTCACCGCTGAGAAGCTCGCCGAGGGCATCGAGTACTGCCTGACGGAAGAGGCTCAAGAGGGAGCCGCCAAGGTTGCCAAGGACATTGAGCTGGAGGGCGACGGCGCGAAGAATGCCGTGCGCTCGTTCCACCGCCATCTCAATCTCCAGGGACTGAACTCCATGCGCTGCTCCGTGCTCAGGGACCGGGCCGCGGTGTGGACGCTGAAGAAGACGAACATCAAGCTCAGTGCCCTCGCCGCAGATATCATTGTCGAAGAGGGGCAGATTTCGTGGAAGAAACTCAGGCTACTGCGCCACATGGAGTGGAACGATTTCGAGGGCCCCGGCGAGCCGGTGACTGGTGTCGCAGGGTCCATCGCGGGTACCGTGGGCAATGTTTTCGGTGGTATCGGCAGTGTCCCCTACAAGATAGCAAAGACATCTCAGAAACGAAAGGAAAAGAAGGAGAAGAAGAAGAAGCTCAAGATGCTAAGAGAGAAGCGCACCGCAGCCAAGGGCCAGAACCCGCAAGCCAACGGGGATCTCCACCAGCACGCGGAAACCAACAACGAGCCACCAAAGGCCCTCAACAAGAAAGAGGGCGACGATGACGGCAAGAAAGACGACAAGAAAAAGGAAAACCAGGAACAGAACGGGAAGACGAAGGAAGAAAACAAGGACGCGCAGGCAAACGGCAACGCATCCTCCGGGAGACCGGGACAAGGCGACCGCCGCGACACAATGTCCTCGGTCGAAACCGCCACCACCGTCGACAACCCCGTCGAGGACTACGCCACGGGGGTCGGCGAGGGCGTCGGCAAAACGGCCACCGCCATCGCCCGCGCACCCGTCGACCTCTCCATGGCCCTCGCCCAGGGCTTCCACAACGCCCCGCGCCTCTACGGCGACGACACCGTCCGCCGCCCGCCCCGCGTCACGGGCATCCGCTCCGGCCTCAAGGCCGCCGGCAAGGAGTTCGCCTTCGGCATCTACGACGGCACCACCGGCCTCGTCCGCCTCCCCGTCCGCGGCGCCAAGAAGGACGGCGTCAAGGGCTTCGTCAAGGGCACCGGCATGGGCGTCACCGGCTTCGTCCTCAAGGACCTCAGCGCCATCATCAGCCCCTTCGGGTACACCCTCAAGGGCATCGTCAAGCAGACGGAGCGCCGCAAGCAGCCCGACCGCGTCGTCCGCCGCGCGCGCATCATGCAGGGCCAGCGCGAGAGGCGGCAGCTGGGCGACCGCAAGCGGGACGTCGACCAGCAGGTCATCACGGGCTGGCTGACGATCCGCGAGCTGATGGACGCCCTCGAGGCCGAGGAGAAGAAAAAGGGCATCGCGGGCCGCCTGTCGTCCAAGAAGCAGCGCGTCAACCACGCCGTCTTCGAGAGCGTCGACATCGCCGAGCGCACCCTCGCCGCCATCCGCAAGGGCGAGGACATCAGCAAGATCGTCGGCACCGAGAAGGAGCTCCGCAAGACGGACGAGAAGCAGAAGAGCCCCGCCACCCGGCACAGCATCGACACGCGCCGGTCCGACGAAAACGGGAGCGGGAAACAGGGCCGCGAGTCCGCGGAGAATTCGAGGGGGAGCAAGGACGGCAACAACGCCCTTGTGGAGGACACGCAGGGCGAGGAGGAGGCGGAGGCGGCGGCGCAGCAGGGGTCGAGCGTTGATCGCCCGAGGAGGTCGCTACAGGCCTAGAAGGATGAGCATGCACCGTCGAGACGACGGCGTTTCTTTTGTTGTTTATCGAGATGCAGATCTTCTCGGGCATGTCGATGACATGCGTGTTTGGCGTTTGGGATCCTAGACGTTCAAATTATACCCCGTTTTGTAACAACTTTGAGTGATTCGTAGGCTAGTGTACACTCCAAAGGGTTGGAGATAATTCAGACAAAAGTATTTCAGAAGTAGTCACATTTTTCAAAGTCTCGAGTGTGACCGGAGTGATCATGGATCGTATTAGATATTAGCTATTGATACTGGAGGAAGGACACCATCGCCATTGTCTTGCTTCCACTCTGCGCAGCTGCCCCTGTTTTGAATCGACTGAGTACCCCAGAAGCCAAGAAGCCCAAAAGTCTTCGTCACGGCACTGGGAGAGTGCAGACGAACCACATGTTCCCTTAAACACTCCGACCGATACCAAACATGACAACGTCTTTTACGACGTGGGAGCCCATTCTCTGTACACGGTGACAGCCTGGCAAGTACTGGATCCATGTTAGAATCGATACGCATTCTGCGAAGATGTAAACTTACGGGTTGACGGGTTCGCCAGCAGTAACCCAAACGAGTGACTGGTAGTAGTAATTGCCGACATAGGTCCAGCAGACGTGCCAGCGGTAGTAGGCTTCCTCGACATAGTTGACCTTGTTAGCCTCAGCCTTGGAATCGTCCTGACGGCTGAAGAGGAACAGTTTCTCATCGTCGTCAAAACCGAAGCTGTAGATGCCCATATCTCCGGGAGAGAAGATGGGAATGGCACTGTTGCTGACAAGCTGGAGCTGGAGGTTCAGAGCTGAGGGTACGGGGTCGCCGTTGCCGATGGGCAGATTCCATGTCAGAAGGCCTAGAGGGTGGTTTTCGTAACTTTGCGTGGTCTCGTTGAGGAAGTATTCCTGGTGAACCCTGGGGGCAGAATGCCCTTCCGGGGAGCCCTCAGGACAAAGACCGGCCTGGCCTGCTCCGGAATGGCAAGAGAGGAAGTAGGTTTCCGCGGAGTTGGGACAGGTCTTGTACTTGAGGAAGAAGGGTGCGGACCGTGTGGTTGCCTGAGCTGAAGCCAGGGCAGCGCCCACGAGAGCGAGGACGGCGGAGGCCTTCATTTTGCCGGTGAGGGAGTGGGGATAGCTGACGAGTGATGGAAGACGAAACGCGGAAGATGATACTTGTTGATGCTGATGCACAGTAAAGCAAAGAGAGATTGTGGATGAGATGTCGGTGGGATGTAGTTGGAATGGAGATGGGAGGTTGACTGACGAATGTGGTGGATTAAATAGGTATTGCAAACGGAGGAGAGCCGAGACAGTACTTTCCTGCATGGTTCCGACTCCTACCTTCCCTTGCAGCTTTGCTCTTCCCACATCTCGGGAAGTTGCACCTACTCCGCCATGTCGTCAGTCGGGCAGCTTGCGAGGGAGCCGCTACCATCATGGCGGAACCCCGCAGATCTGCCTTCCACGTCAGGAACGTTTGTCCCCAGACTTGGACGTAAGTAGAGCATTGCTCTTACCTCAGGGTGGCATGTCCCCCCTCGAGTGGCATGAGCCGGGCTACTCGGCTGCTTCTTCAATGTCTGTGAATCCAAAAAGGGACAAGGAAGCCACGGACTTGTGGTGCTGTCTTGCCGATCGACGCCCACAAATCGGCCCCGGTGATAAACAAGACTAAAGAAGGAACGGGCCAGTAAGGAAGGGAGAAACTGGCGTCGGTGAGAGAAATCTGGGGAAGCTGGACGGCGGGAATGTCTGATTCGAATCGTCACACAAGGTGACACCGCATCCACCTGTAAACGACTGATCGCATTCTTACACAGTAGCGATGTTGGTGTCCAAGTCATCGACACCCACAAATACAGCCACGCGACTCCACGCGGATCGAGTTTCCAAGTTCCCGCGACGGGTTCATCTGAAGTTGATGGTAAAAGAGGAGAAAACGGAATCTAGAACTCGAGGTTGTCGTCAATCAAGAAGAATAAGCTCTTGTTTCGTTGATTGAAGTTGCAGTCAAGACATCAGGAGGACCCTGAAAATATCCACAAGACCGGCATCGCCGAGACTTTGACACTGCTAACTTGATAGGGGTGGCAGACGCCACATGCACGTCATGTATAGCATGTCCCGACGCCATCTGAGGCTGGACGTCGAATGCCACCCTGCGAAAGGTCACAGACTTTGTGTTTGCGATTTAGACATACAAGACAACATGCGGGCTTCCCCTTCGTTTACTGCCAAAAGTGATACAGGAAATCTTGCCCAAAACATTCAAAAGTGATGGTGAAGGGGCAAGTAGACCATGTGTTAGTGAGACATGACGTTGTAGTCAGCCCTCTAAACACGCGAGTCTGCCGGTAGCCCGGTCAGAAAGCTTGGCCTTCCGTACGACACCGGCGTCTTCTTGATTAGCGATAATAAACCAAAGACAAGAGCTCAGCCGAACAGCTGGATTCAACCAAAGGACCGAATCAACGGGGGCGAAGTATAACCACGACGCTCCGGGCTCAACGGGTGGCTTTTCCCACCGAACATTGACCGCCTATCCGCATAAGATTTGTGATCAACTTTCTGTAGCAATGTCGATCTCATGACCGTTGCTTCCTGAGTTAGGCGTCAGCAGCTACGCCGTATGCGGGTGAACACCAAACGACACGCTCGGGAAATATTCTCTTTCCAACCTGGCGCGAAGTACTAGTCGGAGTTTGTTACGTTACCTCCAAAATGTATCATACAGCGGCACATCAGTTCATGTTTGAATGGTCATGTAAGAAAGTCCAAGGGCTTCAATTATATACGAGAAATCCATAAAGACATATGCTGCCGAGCAATAGCAGCATCTTCATGCAGGGGCGATACAACTTCGTTCCCTAGCTGCAAACACCAGAGTTTGCGATCGTGTTCAGGTCCCTCGGAACAACACCGGCAATGAAAGCGTCTGAGACCATCGTCAGCATCATATTGAGTCAGATCATTCACGTTTGGGGTTGACATACCTCTGTAAGACCACCGGTAATCACCAAGCTGAGCCTTCCACGTCCAGAAGACCCAGCCCGCAGTCGACTTCTCGTACGCATACACCTGCGCCGCGAACCACTTCTTGTAAAAGTCCTTCTGCGTGTCCTTGCTCCAGCCATCCGTGTTCTCGACCGAGTCCGGAGGGCTGATGCTCCACTCGCCGACGATGGTGGGACCGGAGGAGTCGCTGTTCCGGTTGTCCTTGCAGGACGTCGAGATGTAGCTGTCGTGAGTGACGGGCACGTTCGTCGCCCACTTGAGGTAGCGGTGATCGTCGAAGGCGGTGAAGTACTTGCTGTCGAGGAATTCGACCGGGTTGCCGGAGCCCCAGAGGGTGTTCATCATCTGGATGTGGAATTGGTTGTTGGCAGTGGTGCCAAGATCGTTTTCGACTTGACGAATGGCCTGCAAGTCTTGTTAGTCAAAAACGCTGGACTGTCGATGTATTCAAAGACTGACATTGTAGGCATTCTTGTAGAAGGTGCTCCGCATAGACGGCACAGCTGAATCCCAGCTCGTAGGCTCATTGACAAGCTCGATCATGCCGACGTTGCGAAGCTCGTTGTGGTCATGTGCAAGCTTCCTTAGGTACTGGAGGAACTTGACGGCGCGGCCATACTGATAGTCATTGTAGAAACCGGGCGTCGACGCAAATTGGCCGGTGAATGCGTTCTTTGCAACTTGGGCTCCCGGGGCTCCGTGGTGGCTTGGGAATTGTCAGTCGAAGAAGCTTCACAAGAGCTGACGCGACTTACTCAAGGATGATGTAAAAGCCGCGGTCACTAGCCCATCCGCAAAGCTGGATCAAGTACTTCTCGGCACCCTGCTTGAAGTCAGCCAATAATCCGAGCGAACTTCCACTTGCAGACAAACCCTTGGAAAGTGTTCAGAGTTCTTGTCCACCAACGACTCGTCCAACCAGTAACCGAGAGGGATCCGAATCGTGTTGATACCGTAGCCCATCATCTCGTCGAGGTCGCTCTGGGTAATCCACGAACCCCAATGCTTCTGGAAAGCCGCGTCGGCCTTGTCCTGGCCAATGTTCATGACACAATCGAACTCGGAGTTCTGACCACCACAGCCCATGTTAGTCCATTCCGTGTTGGCCATCCACGGCTCAAAGACGAAAAGAGACCCGAGGTTGACACCCCTGATCTTGCCGGAACCGGGCATCCAACGCTTTTCAACACCATCGTCGGTGGTGTTTTGCCCATCAAAGAGACTGAAGCCTCGGGTATCCAATAGCTTCTTCGAACCGTCATTTGGAAGCCACGCTTGGGCAAGCTGGGCGGTGGCAGCGAGGGCCAGCAAATTGAAGCGCACCATGTTGGATGAGGTTGATGGAGCACGACCCGACTGTGATGATGGGGATGGAGGGCACAATCGAACCTCAAAGACGGCGACACTGGCTGTCTTAACAAGCTTTTGACATCCCGGGGCTGTTCGGTCCCAAACAATGACCTCAATACCTAGGCGTCGAGTAGCCTCCGGGGCCGTTGATTTAGAAGAGATTATTCCAAGGGGGCGCAGCCTCGATGCGGTAACCACGAAGTCGTTAGGGCTGGACGCTAATGCAAATGCCGATCATAGAGCTTACTGTTCCCCTTGGACCATTGGATTTCAGTGGTCACATCTCGCCAAATCTCGTGCCGATTTCTTAACGCAGTCAAGCTTCTGAGGCTATTCAGGGGGGATGCAGGGGGATTGAGGGATCGAATTGCAGCTTCATCCAATACGAACCAAGGATGAGTGGAGGGAAATAGGCTGCCGTTTATCCATCAACTTGCCGGGTACATAATATGGCTGCCTAGAGACATGTCTCTTCGGCCCCCCACCATCGTAATGTCGTAATAGGCTTTCCTGCCGAGTAGAGTGAAGGATTCGGATGAGACGACGGGCTGGCCCGAGGGAGGTCTGGCCATGATTCCCCCTGGTCAAGAATTAGCTCATGTTCAGCTCCATTTGCTGTGCAGTCCAGTGAATGACTAACCTGGAAGGTAACAGCGGCCCAGTCAGCGACCTGCTGGCAGATTTGGGGGCTACATGCCCCGGGCCCACTCCGCGCGGGGCGAACATTTCGCCGCGCTTAGGCGGTTCCCGTCCATTGAATTCCATGTTAGGTCCAGCCAGTCCTGGGTGCCGATTTCAGCCACTCCCAAACCCCGACTAACCACACCTCACCAACATGAGCAAATCAAGTTCATCATCAGTGATAGCAGGCCTAGCTGTATGAGTGTTCCATTTTCCGTTTTTCTGCATTCCCAACGTATGAGTGTGTAACCCTCACATATCTCAGCTTTGACTAACATGTCCAGTGTGATTACTGTCGGCTCAAAAAACTCAAGGTATGTAGATATCCCAGCTGCATCATCAAGTGTGGCTGTGAAGGCCCCCATAAGCGGTATAAGGCCTAACATTTTCTGCAGTGTTCCAAAGAGATACCAAGATGCAATGCCTGCATCCAGAATGCCAAATCATGTCATTACAGCGGGAGAGCCCAACGATCGCCTCTCACTCGCGCGTGAGCCTCTGACATCCCTTCTTGGCTCTGCCTCGCTTGCTGACACCAGTTTCAAGGTACTTGAGTAGTGTCGAGAGCCGTCTTGCCAGTGTAGAGCATCTTTTCAAGAAGCTGCTCCCAGATGTCGACATTGATCAAGCACTTGCTGCAGAAAGCCGCATGCGAGAGACCCCGGAACCTCCCGCATCACACGCCTCAGAACCAAATACAACGACATCTAGCGGCGGCGGTAACACTATTACCGAAGCCACGCCAGAAGAATACGATGGCTTCGATTGGCAAGAAGATGTCAATGCTCTTGCGGACGGAATGGCAGCACTCTCTGTCGAGCCCAGAGGCGCAGGATACCTGGGTGAGTGATACCTGCGGGCGGGTGGATTGCAGCAGGGCTTACACAGACTTAGGTTCAACTGCAGGCGTCTTTTTCCTTCGGTCGCTCTTGAACTTGACTGGGCATACGAAACCGCTTCTTGAAAGTAAGCCTAGAGCAGATGAACGATTCAGCGCCGTGGCATCCTCCTCCCAGCTGTCCGAGCTAGTCGCCTCTAGGCAGGTTATCGATCGGCTCGTCGATAGCTATTTCTCGATATACCACCGCGCATATCCGTTCGTTCACGAGCCTACTTTCAGGGCTCAGCTCCACGAGGTCATTCCGCGGCCGCAACGTCGATCATGGCTTATGCTGCTCCACACCATACTCGCGTTGGGCGCATGGTGCCAGGACGATCCCCAGGGCGAGTTAGATGATGATCTCTATCGCCATGCTTTGTCCTTTGGCGAAGACGAGTCCCTGTTCGAAAGCGCGAACCTTGAGTTTGTGCAAGCTCTTGTTCTTCTCAGCAACCTCAGCCAGAAACGAAATAAGCCCAACACCGGATCTAACTTCTTGGGGCTTGCCACTCGCATGTCGCTCAGTCTGGGCCTTCACCGAGAGCTGCCAGACTGGCGCATCAACAAGTTGCAGCGGGAGATGCGTCGGCGAGTTTGGTGGGGTCTCTACATATTCGACAGCGGCGCCTCAACCACCTTCGGGAGGCCCATTCTACTTCCAGATACTGAAGCTATGGATGTTCGGCCAGTCCTTAACATTCACGACGTGGTAAGTGCCTTTGGTGAGGTAACAGGGAGGACTGCGTTTCTGACACTTTACACAGAGCCTTACGAGCAGAACAACCGAACTACCCGTGGAAGTTGACGAGCCGACGCTCTACTCTGGTCTGAAGATGCAGAGCCACCTTCACGTCCACTCCAACTTCATTTCGAATCGGTTGTTGTCGTCCTCGGGCATATCACCCGAGAGTGCGCTTTCCATGGACGCAACGCTGAGCAAGTGGTCCGAGTCGCTACCCGCGTATTTCCAGTTGGACTATGACGGGCCTTCCGTCGAATCGTGGTTTCTGTTCACCAAGTCACGGCTCTGGTGGCGGTTTTGGAACCTCAAAATCATCCTTTTCCGACAATTATTGCTTCAGCAAGCTGTCAGCAAGAGTAGAGGAAATATTCAAACTGCTTTCAACTCGTCCGACGAACGGTGCAGAAGCGTCGCCGTTGATGCCGCCATCGCATCAATCGCATCCATTGACCACTACACCAAGCATGGGGACATTACCAGGCTGGTTACATGGTATTCAATGTAAGTTACTCTCTATCGAAAAGCTACAGTGTAGTCTTTGAGCGTGAGCCGGCTCTAATGCATGTCCAGTTTCTTCTTGTTCCATGCGTCCCTTGTGGTTGCACTCGTCTTGATTGTTGACTCGGAGTCGCCCAATGCGCCCCAGTGGCAAGTCCACCTCGACACAGTTCGCCATGTTTTCCGTCACGTCTTTGCCAAGGACCAACTGGCCGCTCGCTGTGCCACCATCCTCGACGAAATTCTAATGCCCGGCTACTTCACCGGGTCAGACAACTGGTCAACTGTTGATCCAGACTCTTGGTCGATGAACTTCTCTACATGGCCAACCGAACCAACAGATGACTTTTTCAGTCTTTTGGGGTGGTCAGGGACCGAAAACTTGGAAATGTAGACAGTCGGGTGTTTATCTGGCGACGCTGCCTAGTTCAGAATACGGATTGTAGGCTCAATCAGGTTGGAACGAATATGATCGCCATTTGGTACGTCGTTCTCGTCTGCACGCAAAAGGGCCCGCTCCATTGTTTTCTCGATGCCGGCTTCCAGGTGTCGGGACGCGAGCCGTTGCCGTGCCACGTCCGTCGGGACGTCGACAAACCACCTGCGTCCCATGTTAGCGTAAACTTGGCAGCAACTTACCGGCGAGAACCTACCTGTCGTCGACAAGATCGGCGATTTTGTTCCATGGATCCTCGTTAAGAAGCGTGTAGTTGCCTTCGATTATAACGACCTTCGTTCGAGACGATATCGCAATCGCGTCTGGCACAGGATCCTTTACTGCATGGTCGAAACTAGGAGCGCTAATCACGATTTGAGGCTCGTCACATTCCGTCACTGGCACCGTCTTGAGTCGCCTTATCAGCTTCAAGAAGCCATCTGCGTCGAATGTGAAAGGCGCACCACGTCGTTGGAAGGCTAGATCAGGGTCGTCGAAGGTGGACAGTACGGCGCGAGGGTAATGGAATCCATCCTATTAGCGGCCCCATGGTAAGCATAGGAAACAGTTGTCAAGAGAGGATGATTAACGAACCATTGGAAGGACTGCAACGTTATCGACTCCATGTCTCTTCAAATCGTCGAGGAGCGCGGCCGCAATGGTGGACTTGCCAGACCCTGGAACGCCGGCCAACGCAATCAAAACCCGGCAAGATGGTCGAGAAATTGCCTGCTCAGCGAGAAGATTCTCAACACGCTCTCGCAGCTTGGTGACTGTTTTCGTCTGGACTTCGCACATGACTCCAGACTCGACTTCAATTGTTCTTGGGTAAAGTAAGGTGAGGCATTCGATCAAGTTCGACGTCGTAACTTTGGGCTTTCCCGTCGAATGTTTCGATATGAGAGATCTACATCCACTCAACCAGCCGATCGGAGTTCGTGCAGGACATCGTCGTATTGCATTACCATTGCGCCGGATTTCTGACCTCCGGGAGAGATCGCCGAACCATTGTCGACTGACAAGTGGAGAAAACCAACGCTCCCTCCGGCAAATTCCTACTGAATCGGCTCCGTTTACGGAGCAGGACGCCAGCATCACATTGGCCCGGACTGCTGTACTCCGGAGCTTTTCGCCCACAATAACTGGGACTTCTATGGAGTCACCCCCGGACCTTCACTTACAGGCCGCATATAAGTACCCCAGAAAATCCTCCGCAAAAAATGAATCTTCCCCGGATTCGACAACCTGTTGGTCGCACAATTCTCTATTCAGCTTCCCTTTCAAGTTCAAAGATGGCAGGTGAACATGTCACCGCCGAAGCCCAGGGCGGCTCGACCGACGTTGTGACTCCTGAAAAGTCTGTTTGGCGGGTGCTCCGCGAGAACCCTTACATCTTTGGACTTTCAGCGGTGTGTAACCTCATATGTCTTCCATAGCCGAATGAAAATTGTTGACATGAGATTCTAGTTTGCCTCACTTGGCGGCTTCCTCTTTGGATATGACCAAGGTGTGGTCTCTGGCGTGATGACCATGGAGTCATTCACGGCCACATTCCCTCGCATTGGCCTCGACAGCACTTTCAAGGGCTGGTTTGTGTCGACCCTGCTGCTTTTCGCCTGGTTCGGCTCCCTCGTCAACGGTCCCTTGGCCGACTGGCTTGGAAGGAAAGGCTCAATGCTGCTTGCCGTGGTCATCTTCATCCTTGGCGCCGCCTTCCAGACGGCTGCGAGCGAGGTTCCGCTACTATTTGCCGGTGGGTCAACACAGAAGTTGCCGGTTTAAACTGAATATGGCTGATCAAAAATCAGGTCGCGCCATTGCGGGCTTTGCTGTTGGCATGCTGACGATGATTGTCCCCATGTACATATCCGAGCTATCTATGCCTCGCATTCGTGGCACGCTCGTCGTCTTGCAGCAGCTCAGCATCACCCTGGGTATTCTTTTCAGCTACTGGCTCGAGTACGGTACCCAGTATATCGGTGGGACCCGGTGTGCTCCCGACATTCCCTACACCGGCGGCACCCCCGAGCTCCCTACGTTCGACCCCCGCTACGATGTCGGGCCTGACGGATGCACTGGTCAGTCACACGCCTCGTGGAGAGTTCCCTTTGGACTCCAGATCTTTCCCGCGCTGGTTCTGGGCATCGGCATGCTCTTCTTCCCAGAGTCCCCGCGGTTCTACCTCATGCGTCACAAGGAGGAGAAGGCGCTTTCGGCGCTGGCCAAGGTCCGCGGCTTGCACCCCGATACCGAGTCTCTTCGCAACGAGTACCTAGGAATCAAAGCCGAGGTCCTCTTTGATGAGGCGTTGAACCGTGAGCGGTTCCCCGGCAAGAAGGGCATCTCGCTCTTCGCCGCACAGAATGCCGCTCTTGTCTCATCCTGGCCAGCCTTCAGGCGTTTGGCAATCGGATGTTTTATCCTTTTTTCGCAACAATTCATGGGCTGCAATGCTATCATTTATTACGCCCCTACTATGTTTGCTCAGCTTGGCCTCTCCGGCAAGACGTCCGGTCTGCTGGCAACGGGAGTGTACGGCATCGTGAACACACTTTCAACCCTGCCCGCGCTCTTCCTTATCGACAAGGTGGGTCGCCGCCCACTTCTCTTGTGTGGTGCCGCTGGTACCTTCATTTCACTTGTCATTGTGGGTGGCATCATTGGCGGGTTCGGCGAATCCCTCCGCTCGAACAAGGCGGCAGGTTGGGCCGGTATCGCATTCATCTACATCTACGACATCAACTTCTCTTACTCGTTCGCCCCCATCGGCTGGGTCCTGCCTTCCGAGATCTTCAACCTCGGCAACCGGTCGAGAGCGATGTCCATCACCACCAGCGCGACCTGGATGTGCAACTTCATCATCGGACTCGTCACCCCGGACATGCTCGAGACGATCGGCTACGGGACATACCTGTTCTTTGCCGCTTTCTGTCTTCTCGCCTTCGTGATGACGTACTTCTTCGTCCCCGAGACGCGTGGAAAGAGCTTGGAGGAGATGGACTTGGTGTTTGGCGACACGGCGGCGCACGAAGAGAAGACCCGTCTGCTTGAGATCGCGGCTTCCATGGGGCTGACGGACGTGTTGTCGGATGAGAAGCTCGGGCATGATGCTACAGACGTCAAGCACGAAGGTTGAGAGTATGAGCCAACCCACTGATGTACGTGGTCTAGCACTTGGGCAGCGTTGTCGTAATTTAGCTGAGCAATTCTGCATGACTTGCCAGATCGAAAACAGAGCTTATCTCTGTTTCTGTACCCTTATGTGGCAACTAGAGAAAGATGTCTCCAAGTCTAAAAGACATTTTCCCGATGACACAACGTCTTTCCTGTGCCGCCGCGTTGTCTCAGTGGCATCCTAGTCAAGCTCTCCCCTCGTATACCGGAATCATGTATCAAGTGTCATTGAACGCCCTAGTCAAGCAGGCTGCAAAATCAAATCGGTATTGCGTTGATCAGTGGACCTTTGATTGGTCCATGTTGGCATATCAGGTGTCGTTTGACGCCCTAGCATTGCGTAGATAGCGGATTACGGGCGGGGACTTCCAGTTCCGACGGCTCTATGCTCCATATTGTCGGTTTGGTCGGCTCTTGAGTAGAAGAAACCGTAAGCCGTTGTATTAATGGTCCTACTTATACCGGCGCCGTGTCCTCAGACGAAAGGGCTTTGGGATTCATCGCCCATCTTGCTATCTTCCTCTCTAGCACGATAGTGAACTCCGACAACACCCCTGCGCCCGTGCCATGGTACGATGCGTACCCAGGGCCTTCAATAAAGATGCCTCCGGTCATCACGCGTGTCGAACTGCTGCAATGGATTCTCCAGGGCAGACAAACGGGTCGAGATTACCTCGTCATCGATCTGAGAAGAGACGATCACACGGCAAGAGTTCTTTGCAGTCCTAAGCCTCCTTTCCACCGATATCCTGTTTTCTTCATCCACTCAACATAGCGGGCGACCACTGAACTGCGAAAAGGGAGGCTTCCTCCGAGGGTCCCTGAGCCTGCCCATCGAGACTTTGTACCCTGCGCTGCCTACCCTTTACAACCTGGCCAAGGCCTGCGGTATCAAGACCGTGATCTGGTATTGTGGTACGTATTTGCAACATGAAAGGAGGGCAGGACTACTTGCAGTCCTCAGAACACTGATACTATTCTCGTCTGGACAATGACTTCGCGGGGACGTGGCTATTGTGCCGCCGCATGGTTCGGCGATTACTTGGCTGAGAAGCATGAGACTGAGACTAAGAGTATTGCGCTCTTTGAAGGTATTCTTGGTTGGGCATTGGCCGGCGACGAGTACACCGCCCACATTGACGAATTTGATCCCGGTGCCTGGCGGAAGGAGGACGCTTCTAAGCACACTGTTCAACTGAAGTAGTGATAAGTTGATGTACGCAATTTGATCCTCGATCCAAGATAAATGTCAACACAGCACTCGTTCCGTAGCTTGAATTTTTTTCAGTGGTTGTGTCCTACTTAGCTACTAAAAATATCTCAGCGAGCACCATAATGTGAGTCTGTCTTGAGGTGATGTCGCGGAAATCACATTGCTCATTCTTAGTCCGACTGACATGCCTGGATACGCTCAATTGTGGGTAGAAACTCAACAGTTCGAGTGTGCAGTCTTACAGAGATAGCTGTGATGACCAAAAGGGGATGCCCAGACTTTGCTACAGATTTCAAAGCCTTGAGTGTGTGCGGATGTTCACTATTGCGGCAACCCGGCTCAACCGGAAATACTCCGCTGGGTGTTGAACCCGTCCTCGCATATGCAAGACCGAGCTGGTGAAAGGATCATGGGCCAATTGTATCATGAAGAGAGACAACTCAGAGAACCAACAAACAATCAAGCGGGGCGAAGCCGCATGAGGATGGAGACATCAAAAAGGGGGTGTTACCCCGAGGGACACCATATCACATTTAACCAGCCCATTTCCCCTCTCTACATAGCAGCCAATTTGCATCTGGCCTCTCTCTTCTATTGCTACTCTAATTTGAAGAGCACGACTCTGCTGAATATGATTGAACCCGAGCAAGTTGTAGCGGCTGAGGTAACTTCACTGGGGCCTTTGCTCTCTCTCTCTCGTGTTACGTCTGTGTTTACTGAGACCGAGACCAGGTCGATCGCACCGACGACGATGCCTCGTCAATTGGTGGTGCCGTGAGTTTTCACATGGCTGTCGCTCCAAGTCTTGAAGCTGACACCACAGTCTACCGATGAATCCTTGGCGTCTTTGCGGTCTACCATTCTTGACTATCGTCGAGAAAACGGTCGCACGTACCATCGAATGAGTGACGGGAGTGAGTGACATGTCGGATTCAGTTGAGGATTGAGTACTAATCTTTGCTAGAATATGTTCTTCCCAACGATGAGGTATGAGCTGCTAATTCGCCTACTGACGAGAACTATTCGTATACTAAACTACCTCCAGAGAGAGCAGGATCGCCTCGGTAATTAGTTCATGAAAGACTCTTAGCAGCAAGGACTGATTCTGTAGACCTCACGCATCACTTGTGGCTTCTTACCTGGGACGGCGAACTCTGCAACAGCCCAAAGAAGGACAATGCCAAGCGGGTCTTAGACATAGGTACAGGAACAGGAATTTGGGCTCTGGACTTCGGTAAGCTACTAGTCAAGCTAGGTAACGGGCAGGGCTAATGTTTGAACAGCGGAAGAACATCCTGAGGCACAAGTCTGTTCTCTACCTTAGCAACCGAGATGCGAAAGTCGCTAAGTCTTCCATAGGTAATTGGTGTGGATCTTAGCCCGATCCAGCCCGGCTTGTGAGTACTCTCGCAGCCTTTTTGCTAACCACGACTTAGCTGACGAATATTCCTAGCGTACCTCCTAACTGCAGCTTTGAGGTCGATGATGTCGAAAAGGAGTGGACATGGTCGAAACCCTTCGACTTCATCTTCGTTAGGTCCATGATTGCAAGTTTCTCCGATTGGCCTGACATTCTCGCTAAAGCATACAAGTGAGTACATGAACCTCTGATTCATCACAAGCATGCTTCATTATGAGATTTGATAGGGGATTTGGAAGTACTCATTGAATGATAGAAACCTCGAGCCAGGCGGTTATATCGAGCTGCACGATCATCAACTGCCGCTCAAGTGTCAAGACGGCACTATGACAGATGATTTCAAGCCATACCAATGGAACAACATGCTCATCGAAGCCACAAACAAGATTGGCCGTCCCATCAACGTCCCGTACAAGTTTAAGCAGATGCTCGAAGACGCCGGCTTCGTAGACATCGAGGAAAGAATCGTTAAGTGGCCATTTAATGATTGGCCCAAGGACTCGAAACTACGGGAAATAGGTCACTGGACAAATGAAACCGCCCTGGCTGGCGTCGAGGCGGTGTCCATGGCGCTCTTCACTCGTGTGCTCGGCTGGGAACCTGCAGAGGCCACGGTTTTCTGTGCCGAGGTCAGAAATGCGCATAAAACTAAGGCAGTTCATGCCTACTACGACGTGTAAGTCCATTCCACTGGGGTATGTCTTGCTTTTGTTGCAGAAGAGTGTGGCTGAACTTTCTATCAGATACGGTGTTTGGGCTCGGAAGCCGGAGAAGAAGGACGACGAAAAGTCCACTTGAGTGAAGTTTGTAGCTTTTCAACATGTTTGGAATTGAGCTCTTGGGCTTTTCCGCCTCAGTCGCTGAAAATCTCAGAAGAGAGGGTCAACGCAGCTTCATAAGGACAACAGACTCATAGGGAACAAGAAAGATCAACAAAAAGTACCTTTCAATGTATCTCATATTGCATAATCTTTTGCACAGGGTTTCCAACAACCAACCCCGCTACATTACGATCATACGCTGACTGGTACCGCACGTTTCATCGGTGCCGAGCGTCGGAGCCGGATACCGGGACTAAACGGCCCCACTCCGGGCCGTGTGCCGGAGCCGAGAACGACACGTGTTCCGCAACTTCAGAAGCGATCTTAATGGGCCCGGTACCGCTCTCGTTGGCGCCACATCATCATCAAAAGCCTCGACCAACGCAGGCTTCTACGCTACCATGCCCACTCAGAATGGTGTTAAGATCGCACAGTGAACCGAAAGCGACTTTGTTCCTCCTGCGTCGTGGTTCCTAGTGATTGCACTACTTGCAGCAAAGGGAGTGAAATATTTCTTGTACCAAAGTCGAGGCACCATGTCATCGAATGAGTGCGAGGCATGAGACTCTACTAGTATTCTGACGTGCGCACTTTATTGATTAGTTTGCTGGTGTAACTGAGAGACTCCACCCCTGGTCGTCCACCCCTGGTCGTATAGTGAGCAGTCTTACACAGTGACTTGCGCACCGCGCAGTCACACTTTTGAGTACACCAATCCTGCTATCATGCCTCTTTTATATCCATCTCAACCGTGTTTCTCCTTGACCATAGTTTGACCCAAGACTGCTTGTTTTCAAATTGCGCTAAGCCGCTTACTTTCCACCCTTCTTCTTGCTGCCGCCGTTGAGAGCCTATAAACTACAGTCAGCATTATGATGGGTTGATAATGGCACACGGCACTCACAGCCTGCTTGTTCTTCTCATTCTGCTTCTTGCCGTCCTTGAACTCCCCAGAAAGCTTGTTGAGAGTCGCCTTATCGGACTTGGAGTTGTTGCCCTTCAGACTCTTCGCCTGCTTGGACTCCTTGGCCTGCGCGCCTTGAACCTGCAAGCAATTAGTTAACCTCTCACTGTCCTCGCCCACTGATTGAATGTTCCTCAGATGCGACGTACCTTCTTCAGACCATCATTCAGCTGCTTGTTCTTGGGGTCGGCGTTCTTCTGGTTCTTCGCGCGCTGCTTCTGTCCTGCGGCGATGTCCTTGTTAAGCTTCTGCTTGGACTTGTCGAAGTTCTTGGTTCCCTCGGCCTTCTGCACTTTCTTGACATCCTTCGACTCTTGCTTCTGGATGTTGATGTTCTTGTCGATACCGGCAGCCTCCTTCTTCTTGCCGGCGGCGCTGCCCTTGCCCTTGTTGTTGTTGGCACGCGCCTCGATGCCGTCTTCTGACACCGACTCTTCCAATGCCGGCAAAGGCAGGGCAACGACGAAGGAGAAGAAGAGGAAGAGAGAGAGAATGAGCTGAGTGAAGCGCATTTTGAAGGGCTTGATGGTATTAGCCGGAGGTTTTACTAAGAAATATATTATAAGACGTAGAGAACACTGATGAACGAAGAGGCTGATGATCTGAATTCCTAACTACGGAGCTGGCGACTACCACTCACTTATATAGTCATTTTATTGATCCGCCAGCCCTGACAATATCCCTTCCAAATCATCATCTAAGTCGATTCGGCACATGCACTTCACCCCAGGGAAATCCGGACACTGCAACTGCCACCGGCGGAACGCTCCGCGATGCCTGGCGGCTCTGCCGTGATGCTTTTGAGGCTGTTTCGCTCTAGCGAATGAAGCTCCTCGCGTGTCGCACATCGCGTCTAGACGCCCGCGCCTCGTCCGAAGTCAGGAAGCTTGACAAGTGACAAGCTTTTGGGTGGAGTTGAAACGAAGAAAGTTTAGCCGCATATGTGTTTTGGGGCCGAACCTTGATGCCAAGAGATCCTCTCTCTTACACTCTCGGGTCACATTCCACATTGGACGCCAAGATATGTCGAGTTCGTTCTCGTAGATCAATCCGCTCAGACGGTACAGCTGAGGAGGAGGTAGGCGCCGTTGGACCCATTTCAAGTATACTGAATGATGATATCTGTTGAGGTGAACCACGGATTTCAAGCTTCATCACCATTCTTTACCGGCATGTGAATTGAGACGGACCATTCAATCAAGACACAACCAAATAGGTGGCCACGCACAAGCCGAGTTCGAAGGGCCAGATTGTGCAAGAAAGGACGATATTGGGCTAGAATCAACCCAAGTCGACAAACGAGGCTGCCGAGTCTCAAGTCAACCGGTGGGCTGATTCATTAACTTGGACGAACTCTGACCAAAAGGGAAATCCAAGGTAAAAGATCTCTCTTTCGGTGTCCGTCTGGTAGCAGACGCAACATAAGGCTTGCGTAGTGCGTTTCCAGACGGGTAGTAATGCACCATAAAGGCCAAATATGAGACCCCGCAGTTGTAAATCGTGTGAAAGTAGGATCATCTGGTGTCTCGCGGCTCCTCCCATGTTAGACGCGGGGCCGGCCTACACCCCATTCTCCGTTCAACAGCTTCTACCGCGGCAGGCGGGGAGAATAGAGTCCAAGCTTCGTTCCCACGATGCCCACTAGACTCCTGACTAGCAATGGAATTCTTAAGCTTCTTTTTAGTCTCCATTGCAGCCCTATGGCAAGATTAAAGCTCCCGTACGTTTATTTTACATTAAATCCCCGTAATGTTGGTGATTGGAGAGTTAGATACTAGTAGGGCTGATGTCGAGTTCTTGGTATGGCCAATTGCCCCGGTATCCATTGGGAGTTCGGCTGATCGTCGTCTGAATACCGTGTCCTCGGGTCCGTTAATCTGCTATATGATCTTCGTCGTCTAAACAGTCTCGCCAAGCAGTCAGTCTGTCGCCAAGAGCTGCCACCACCATGGCATGCTGAGGAACAGCCACCCAAAACTTTCCAAGCGATCATCTCCATGACGAGTCACAGGATTTACACTGCATCACATCATATGACTAGAGTTTACTTAGTCGACTCATAATCCGGTTTCTTAATGTCCGTCAGCTAGCAGTTTTCTGTGAGGAAGTCGGCATTCTCGTCAGTCCGATTAGGGCGCGTGCTCCAGGTTGCGGGCAACCCCACACGACCCGGAGCTAATTAACAACGTTGAGTCTCAGAATAACGGCAAAGCGACGTCCCGCCTTCGTCTAATGCTTAATATTCCGAGGCCGACGGTGCGGGCTGGATGTAAGGCGCGCATGCAGATTCTGGGGTGACGCGTGGTCGGATGTCCGGCAAGCCGGATACACAACCCACGAAGTCAAGGCTATGCCAGCCATAAGTCTGATCCAGCCGATGATCTTCGGACATCCCAATGGATAATGAGCTTGTTAAATCTGCGTTGAGAAGGTTTTCACGACTCGACACCAACATCCATCATGGTCTCTCGCTCTAGACTCGTGCCGTCTAGCCGTCTGCGACCGCCCTTATCGGTTAGGTTTGCATTTGGCGGATACATTTGCCCATTCAGTGCTGAAATTGAAATCCGACCTAGGCGCATGAACGTTATTAGTCCTGCTGACTATACCTTACTGGCTATCGATCTTGATGGATCAAAGTTGGCCGAGAGACGCCGAAAGTCCGTAGACTACATATGCGCGTTCTGGAGCCATCTAGCACCTGCTGCGGCTTCCAAAATTGGAGAGTCAACCGTATGGGTATTGTTGATGTATCGTCATTAAAACGCAGAGTCATAATGTACACATCCGATATTGTCCGATACTATGAGCTACTCGAGGTTCGTCTAGGCTCAGAGTAGTCGTGTAATACAAAAGCCAGAAGAATGACACGAATGATTTCCAACGAGACGGCCAGATCACAACCTCGGGCTCATGTGGCATAACAGCTTGGACTCGAAAGGTTAGCGGGTGAGCAGTGTCCGTGGGAGAATCCAGCCCACATCTTCTAACTAGCGTGCAACCTGTGAAGTGTAAACAAGCGTCACAGATGATCAGGTCCTGTTTGAACTCTAGGTAAACTTATAAGATTTGGTGATGTTATCAGGAGATATTGAATCAAGATTTGCGCAGCCGGGTTGAGCTCGCTTGGAGCTCCTAATATCGATAAACTCAAAGATCTCAGTGATGAGCACACGTGTTGCTTTTCTTCTCAATCAACATGTCACAATCTACTTCCCATACCCGTCTGCTCAGAGACAAGGCGTAGGTCCAAGCCATCCAGCCTCAAGAGTTCTCATCACCCCGCCGGTAAATTTAGCCACTTCTGTCTGTCACTGGTGCTTGTGTCCTCAGTGGACTACCTCTAGCTCATCATGGTTGTGGCGTCAAAGACACTCGCAAGCGTTTGAAGAAGACGACCGACCCTTATCCCGAGATAACTAACACTTCCTGCGATAAAACAAACAGATAGCTTTTGTAAAGAATCACTAGGGCACCCTGATAACAATGTCATTGAGAATTTGGGCGTTCAATATCTGAACTTCTACATCTTACATGATACCCACCGATGTGCATCCGGATCACGAAGCTAAGTTGTTGTACTACGACTCCCAGCGATGGCACAAGCATGCTCTTTCTGGCACCCACGGATCCTGAAATGTCGATCAACCATCGCAAATGGTCTATTTTACACTTTCTGCGACACTAAGGGCTTGCAACGTGACCGTTAGCTTCCAGATTGTTGATTCGTGGGGGTGGGGGCCATTGTGTGCCAGTCAAGGCTTAGCTAGCCCCCATTCACACAGCTTGGCTTCGATCTTACCGTATAAATCTACTCATCATCATACCTACCCAATCTGTCGCTGCAGTCATGGAAGAACCTTTCGTTGGATGTAATAATTGCGCGGGCTTAGTGTCGTCGTTGAAGCGCTTCCATTCTGATCTAATTGAAAACCCCAAAGATGCTGAACGATCATCGGACACGAACTTTCTCAATGCCTTAGACGCAATGGAGAGTGGTCGATTGGGTTGTACATTGTGCTCATTCCTGTCCAAGGAAGTCGTGAACCACAGCAAAAATCTCAGCAACAAGGCAACAGAGTTCCACGAAGGAGATCTCTGGATCAAGTTCGTCGCCCGGCCCGGTAAAAAGGGCATCGGCGGTATTGTGGTCTACAACAAATACGCCGAGTACCAATACATCCGGGTTCTTCAGACCGTCGGTACGATACTCTCGGTTTCCAGGGACGGAGACATGACGCGGCTAACGGAGATCAGATTTTGACCCGTTATCCCAAGAAAACGTCGCGAGAATCAAGACCAGCATGGAGACCTGTGTCGGACAGCACCAAGCGTGCCCTTCTTTCACCGCCAGGCCGGCCCCCAAGAGGCTGATCAATCTAACGGAAGGTGACGAGCTTCGACTGGAGAACACGGAGGGAAAGGTGTGCCAATACGCTGCTCTCAGTTACCGCTGGGGAGATCCAGAGTCAGTCCGAGATGCTCGAACTGTTGCCCACAATCTGAAGGCGAGAATGAGCAAGTTCTCTTTATCAGAGCTCCCAACCACGATAGGTGATGCTATAAGGGCCACACGAGCTTTGGGTATAAGATATCTCTGGGTTGACTCGATATGCATCGTCCAAGAGCCCATCGACATCGAATGGAGGTCAGAGGCCAAGAGAATGATGGACTACTACGGCAACGCCTACTTGACTATTGTCCCTGTGGCATCAGAATCGGCTGATGCCGGCTTTGGATATGGAGAGACCCGCATGTCCTGGACTCGCTTGCAGGCCCCGTGGTACCAGACAGGCAATCATCAACTCATCCTGGCCCGTGAAAACTGTCACAATGAGTTGGACACAGCTGACCGCATGGCTGAAGCTGCCGCGTTCTCGTCTGCATGGAGTCGAAGGGCATGGACATACCAAGAGCAGCTGATGTCGTCCCGAATTCTCTACGTCTTGCCGGACAGAGCCTTGTTGGACTGCCGCGCTGGAGAATGGGAGACTTTGGGGGGTTGGGACGAAGACAGAAGGTTCCTCGTCAACCATTTCCTTCCTCTCGATGCAGATTTCATGCCGAAAGACGCAGATTCATGGTGGCGACTGGTCTACAAGTTTTCGAAGAAAAATTTGACGTTCGAGAAAGACAGGTACTTTGCCTTCCTTGGGATAGCAAACAATTGGAGTTCCGTCTACGGACGTGATATTATCCTGGGTTTGCGGAAGGACGTCCTCATTGAAGATTTGGTATCATGGGCATCGCCCCTTTGGGACGAACGATGGGAACCGGACGCGCCTCATCAGACCGGTGATGCCCGCCTACCATCGTGGACGTGGATGGCAGAAAAAAGAGAGTATGCGGCCGGAATTGACATCATATTCGTCAAAGACCACCGCAAACCGCGAGCACATCTGCTGGCAATCAACGAGTCGTCAGACATTTGGCGGACTAGCCTGCAGTTGCGGACCGTATTCCTTTCTGCGGAAGAGCTCCTGGGCCTGGTAACACAATCGTATACCAGTTACAAGCACAGCAGAGAATCCATCCCATATCGACAATACGGAACAGCGCGTTTTGATCGCTGCGACTATGCCGAGCTCTGTTCGTGCAGGTCACCACACCCGGCATTGGATTGCACAGCTTTGCGCATTCTGTCGTCCAGCAGCCGAGATGTATCGGCTTGTCTCATGGGACCGGGGACAATCAAAGGAGCGGATCTCATGTATTGGTTCTTCCTCCTAGTCGAGCCAGTCAAAGAGGTCAAGATGGCCCACGAGCAGCAGCAGGCATACCGGAGAGTTGGCGCGCTTGACTTTACTACTGAGTTCATGGACAAATATGATCCGGAGCTAAGTTCAAAGATCGCTGCTCGATTACCGCGAGAAATCACCCTATTTTGAAGCGGTCATGCGGAACCAAAATGACATTTCCACTCGTGTGGGTGGCGGGTATCTATCTAACGTACTTGCTCATGAATCGTCGGTGGAAATCAGAGCGCAGGAGGTCCTGTAATCAAGTCAGCAACACATTTCATCACGTTCCACCTTGGAGAAAACACTTACGTTGATAAACTCCTTGCTCTTCCCCTTCTCCTCCGTGCCCCTCGCCTGGTTCTTGAAAACAACATCATCATCCCACCGCCGCTTCATGTTGAAATCGGGCTTATTCAGCAAGGGGTTCCCCAGCGCGATATCCCGCTCCCTCTCCTCCTCCTCAGCCTTGGCCCTCTCTCGCTCTTCGCGTTCTCTCTTCTCGGCTCTTTCGCGCCTGATCTTCTCCATCTCGCGCTGCAGCTCCGCCTCCTCGTCGTCGCTCTCCTCGTCACTGTCGCTGTCGTCGTCATCGTCCTCTTCGTCGTCCTCCGAGTCCGCGTCCACGTCTCGCGACTCTTCTAATATCCTCCTTCGCTTCGCTTCAAAGTCTTCTTCGCCGTCCGCCTGCGATCCCGCCTCGAGCGCGCGCTTGGCGCCACCAGTCGTCGCGTCGTTGTTGTCGGGGATCGCGGGAGGCACGCCGCCGTTCTTCTTGGCAAAGTGGGCGGCCTCGGCGGCAAGGAGCTCGGCTTGGAGGTCGTGGGTTTCTTCGTCGGCCGCGCCGCCCTGGCCGGCCTGGCGGAACTTGAGTTGGGTATGCGCGGGAAGGAGGCGTTGATGGTAAGCTGGGCCGCGGAGGGCTTCTTTGCCAACGGCCTGAGGGAATGGTTAGCAAACTGGATTCAGAAGACAATTGGCACTCAAGTAGCATACCGGATCGAAGGTGGGACGGTGAGCGGTAGTCATCTTGATGTGTGGTGCCGATGAGGTTTGTTGTGTGTGACGGTGTTGAAGTTGGCTGGACTGTCGAAATGGGACCTTCTCCAGATGCGCTGCTGCACGCGCAGGTGGCTGACGGGTCTGGGCTACAGGGGTGCCACCTGAAAAAGAACCCGGCAAGCATCCACCGCCCGGCAGAATTTTTGCAGCGCCCCGCCAATGCGATCGACCTCACTAAACACCATCACTAAAATCAGCGGGTTCTTAGTTTGAGCATATGAGCCGGCCCTTCACGACGAGAGTCCAACCGCCAAGATGCCCAGAGAAGCCGAGCCATCAGCAAATGAGAAGGCTTTCGTCACACAAGCCCTCAAGGAGAACTTGAGGCTTGACGGCCGCGAATTCGACCAATATCGGAAATTCGAGCTCACGTTCGGCGATGAGTACGGCGTGGCCAATGTAGAGCTGGGCAAGACGAGGTTAGACGAAATCTGTTGCTATTTTCACATTCATAAAGCGTTTGTACTAACCACTCCCACAGAGTCCTCGTCAAAGTCTCAGCAGAAGTCACAGTACCCTACTCAGACCGCCCATTCGAGGGCATCTTCCAAATCGTCACCGAACTGAGCCCCATGGCCTCACCCGCCTTCGAGGTCAACCGCCCGACCGAGGCCGAGGTCCTGCTGTCGCGTCTCCTTGAGAAGACGATTCGCCGCTCCGGGGCCCTCGACACGGAATCCCTGTGCCTCGTCGCCGGCCAAAAGGTCTGGTCCGTCCGCGCCGACGTCCACGTCCTCTCCCACGACGGCAACCTTGTCGACGCGGCCTGCCTCGGCGTCGTCGCCGCCCTGCGCCACTTCCGCAAGCCCGACACCAGCAACGAGGGTGAGGCCCTCACCATCTTCACCGCGGCCGAGCGTGAGCCCGTGCCCCTGAGCTGGCTCCACAGTCCCTTCTGTGTCACCTTCAGCTTCTACGGCGACGAGGGCGAGATCACCCTCGTCGACGCCAACTGGCTCGAGGAGCAGCTGCGCACCAGCAGCGTCACCGTCAGTCTGAACAAGCACGGCGAGATCAGCCAGATCTCCAAGCTCGGGGGCACCCCCGTCGAGGCCGTGACGCTGCTGCACTGCGGCAACGTGGCGCTCCAGAAGGCCAAGGAGTTCTCGACGCTGGTAGACGCGAAGCTGGCGGACGACGCGAAGCGGAGGGACAAGGGCGGCCTCATATCAGAGCTGTTGTCTGCGGAGAATGATAGAGTAGTGGATGCATAGATGGTCATGCCTGACGCGGAAAACAAATTGTAAAATGATACCCAGCCATATGCGCTTGCAAACCAATCGTCTTTGCAGTGAAGATAGTCTCCCTCCCTCGGCATACCCGTCCGCTTCTTGGGGGATCCAACTCCGGCAACGCCGTTCTATGACCTTTGTGTGAAATATCATGCCTCGTGAACCAGCAAACGCTTTCTCGACATAGTCTACCGCATCACCGGCGGCCTCGACTCCTTGTTCCACTTTACTCGCGACCTCACCCACTCCACCGCTTCCTTCACGCCCGTCCCTGTCAACGCACTCACAGGCAATACCCGCGAGTCACGAATGCTGCTGGCCTTCTCGCCCTCAAACACCTTCTTCACCAAACCCTCCTTGATCCTGACGACCTCGACGCAGTCCTCGCGATCTTGTTTGTTGGCCAACACCAGCACGGGCACGCCCTCCGTCTCGGAATGTTGCAGCACATCCTCGAGCACCAGACGGCACTCCTCCAGACGCCCCGAGCTGTCGTGCTCCAGGTTGCCGTCGCCGATATCAGTCGAGTCGATGATGAAAACGATGGCATGCGCCGAGGCGTAGTAGCTCTGCCACAACTTGCGCAGCGAGTGCTGGCCGCCCACGTCCCAGATCTTGAGGTACATGTCCGGCAGGGTGATGGTCGAGACGTTCTGGCCGACGGTCGGGACGGTCTTCAGTTTCGGGTCCGGGTGTGAGGGCAGGAAGAGCGACTTGACCTGCTCGTGGAAGGTCGTCTTGCCGGCATTGTCGAGGCCGAGGAGGATGACGGAGTACTCTGCGCGGGGAAGAGGTCAGCAAGGGACAGGTGAATGGAGCTATTCCGGACGTGCGCGCGCACCTTCTTTACTGGTGGCCAGCAGGTATAGACCCTTCGCAAGGTGATACATTATGGGCTGTAGTCGCTTGCTCGCAAGCCGGTCGCGACGGTGCTGGAGATTGTCGGCGCCGGCAGTTCGATGGCGGGCGCGATTGGCGGGATGTGGATGGTGAGGTGAATGGAGCTTGACGGGACGGGAGCTGGTGCCGCCCGGACAGCTTCCAGTAGAACTGTTTTCCGGCGCTGACACGCTGTTCTCGGCCGTTAGTGGGGGCGTTGCAGGGGTTTCAGGGGACTTTGCGCTGGAGGCTCCTCAGCCCTATGCCGCTATCACGCGTGAGAACCCGGAGAGTCGGCTGATTCTGAACATCCATTTATCAATGTGTCCCAGAACTTATTTCCCTCGTATGAATTCTCGTTCACTCACTCTCGGATTATTCGATGCGGTTCACATGATGTGCCCGGAGTCGGGCATCATTTCTTGTGGCTGTAAGTCGTTTGCAGGCGATGCCTAAGTCCGACAAGCGTCTGTATCACTCATTATTCAACATGGTCAGATTATGAGTCGGTTCAAGCATGTCTAGTCATTCATTTCTATCGCTCAAAGTCTATTTACGATTCATCCTGCTGGTTAGGACACTGCAAGCTTACATCTTAGGGATAGTAGTCGCATAGCCTTCAACCACGGCAGTCATCAAACGGTTGGCAATAGCCGTAGGAGGAGGTAGCCTGAGACCACCCTCCTTGTAACCCTCAGGAGCGGCCTCGCCCAGCCCACTGGTACCGTTCTTCAGCGCATCCCTGAGAACATCAAAGGGGAACCACTGCGCATCCTCCAACTCAGGGTCATTTCCGAGGTCGATAGTCTCGCCATCCGGAAGGGCCTGGGCAATGGCACCAATCATCAAGCTCGCGGGGTAGGGCCACGGCTGGCTGGAATGGATAACGACTCTGCCGACTCTGACACCACTCTCCTCCAGAACCTCGCGGCGAACGGACTCCTCAATCGATTCACCGGGCTCGATGAAGCCCGCGAGGGTGCTGTACCAGTGAGGAGGCCACCTCTTCTGACGGCCCAGGAGGACCTTCTGACCGTCGGCAGAGACGACGGCGGCAATCATGGTCGGGTCTGTCCTGGGGAAGCTGATGTTGGAAACGCCGCCGCCGCGGGTGGGGCACTCGGGTCTGTCGCGGGGAGTCTCCGATCCCGCGAGGTCAGTCGAGGGACACAGACGCTTATAACCCGTGTTGCCAGACAAGGTCGGCTGTCCACACCCAGCACAAAACTTGTTGCGGGTGTTCCAGTCGGCAAGTGACCGGGCCTGGGCATAGATGCCAGCTGAGGTACTGTTAGTATCCAGAAAGCATACGACATCCTCTGGTTGGAGACTTACCGGCGTCAGGTTCAAGGGTAATATGCCTGGTGCCCTGAAGGAAGTCGTTGCCCTTGCTGGCCTGAGCCTCAATGAGTTGGTTGGCGGCATCGGCATATGATCCCTTCGGGGTCACATCGACGGCGAACCATGGCCGACCCTGGAGACCCTTGTACTCGAACGGCACCTTGGCGCCCTCCTCAAGACCAAGGAAGATGATCAAGGGCCGAGTAGCAGATGAGTCGAAGTTCTTAATGAGATCCTCCTCAGAGGGGCCGAAAGGATCCTCCGAAGTCACAGGCTTGACATCGTCGAAAGACACAAACGCCAATTTCGAAGGGGCGCTGGTGAGGGGGCTGAGGTCCTTGAGAAGCATGAAGTTGGTCTCCTTGGCTTGGAACGCGGACCTGATAAAGGTGTGATCGGTGCGGAGCCATCCCACGCGGTTGAGGGCGCTGCCGGCGAAGTAGTTGACGGTTTCCCGTCCGAATTTCCTGGACAGCATCGAGTCGGGGTGGTCGACGGGTGCAGGGAGGTTAGGGACTTGAGAACCCATGCCGAGGGTATTGCGGCAGCGGTGAAGCTATCGCGGGATTTCCGGGTAGGACGGGTTTCAAGCACTCGGCGCTGGTGCGGAGGATGTGATGAGATAATGGTAGTCCTTGGAACAAAGCTTATTTTTCGCGCAAGGGGATATTTCAAGCAAGATCTTGTAGTAATCCAAAAATGTGTAGTCTTCGAGATGTAGTGGCGGCGGGCTGTCCCGGCTGAATAATCAGTTTGAGGAGAGACGCCGATGGAGCCCAATGCGATGGAGCCGTCACCGTGAATCACGACTCGCCGCCTAAGCTCCGATAAATGGAGCCTCCGGAGATCCCCTGTAGCAGCCGTGCGGGTTGAAAGCAGCTACACTAAGCAGTTGGCTTCGACTAATCATCACCCGGAGTTGTCACGGCATTCGGACGTGATGTAGGTTTTGCTTGTGACGGCTGCCAACACCGCCCAGCACATCATCTTTCATGCGATAGTGAGCTTCATTCATTGGAGGGAGACCCCAAGACGAGAGTTCGTGACAGCGACGGGGCTCCAATGACAGCTTGCGACAGCTCAGATGTCAAGTGAGATGAGGTGCTTAAGCTTATCTCCACTCCGACTTGGCCCCCGAAATCGCCCAGAAAATCAGTTGGGGCATTTTGCCGAGGCCAACAGTCGGCAGTATAAATCCCGACGTCTTAGTCATCTCCAGGCTTCTCACCGCCCGAATCATGTTCACAACGTTCAGCTTGGAGGCGAGCTGTATGCACTAATCCTGCATAAAGGCACCTGAAAAAAGTGGGCGTTTCAGCGCATCTTAGCGTCTTCTCCCCCGCATTTTGGCGACCCTTTTCCGGTGATGGCGGGCAATGACGGTGACGTCGTGGCACCTTCGCTAAAATGCAGCTGGCGAAATACGCTGCGCGCACGTGGATGCTGATGGCGCGAGCGGAAGCCGAAGCGGAAGTGGCCTACCAAAATACCTGTCGAGCTTTTTTTTCGGCTCATTTTCGCAATCGTCTTTGTCCATGGAAAAAGTCTTCCCACCCAACATCGTAAGATTTTAGGGAGGACACGGTTTTTTATTTTGTTCCTGCTCCTCTTAATCTCGAGTTAGCAATTGCATGATACTGGCATAGTTGCTTCTTGCACCTCTTACCTCTTTTCTTTCGTTTCTTGTAGCATCTCTCTCCCCTTTGTTAGTCACTTAGTCGCATCTCGCTTCCCACTTTCGCATCATGGCTCCCCCTACCGATCCCCTCAACCTCGACGTTGAAGCCATTTCTGGCATTTGCGGGTGAGCACATCCGTCTTCTCGCTCTCCCTTAAGCCAATTGCTGACCGAATGCGCATAGTTCAATCTCAATTGCCTGCTGGGTCGTCGTCTTCTCCCCTCAGATCCTCGAGAACTTCCGTCGCGGCAGCGCCGATGGCCTGTCCCTACAGTTCATCATTGTCTGGCTTGCGGGCGATGTCTTCAACATCCTGGGCGCCGTCCTGCAGGGCGTCCTCCCGACGATGGTGAGTCACGCCACCACTCACCAGCAGCATCGCCGGCACCAAGCTGCTTCGAGAACCCCAGCTAACGCTATGACTCTTTCCCCTAGATCATCCTTGCCATCTACTACACCATCGCCGATATGGTCCTGCTGGGACAATGCTTCTACTACCGCGGATTCACCTGGAAGGATGAGGTGGTGCCCCCGACCCCGAAACCGCGCAACCGCATGGGCGAGCCGAACGAGCGAACCGGCCTCTTGCCCCCGTCGGCGATCGAGCGCGAGCGCCGAGGCTCGGACTGGTCCCATCTCTCCCCTGCCGTGCCAATGCGCCCCGAATCCGCTCCCGCTCCCCCGCCGAGACCCTCGACCGTTCTGCAGGCCATCGCCTGGAACACCACCGCCGTCGTCATGGTCTGCGCCGCCGGCGTCCTCGGCTGGTTCCTCAGCCGCGGGTACTCCAACTCCGACGAGCCCGACCACAACAATAGCGACAGCGACGCCCTCACTTTCAACACCCTGGGTCAGATCTTCGGCTGGCTCTGCGCCGTGCTGTACCTGGGATCCCGCTTGCCTCAGCTTCTGCTGAACTACCGCCGCAAGTCCACCGAGGGCGTCAGCATGCTCTTCTTCCTCTTTGCTTGCCTCGGAAACCTGACCTACGTCCTGAGCATCTTCGCATTCGACCCCCAGTGCAAGGGCAAGGAGTGCGCTCCGGGCGAGGCGAACAGCATCTACGGCCGCTACATCTTGGTCAACCTCAGCTGGTTGGCGGGCAGTTTGGGTACCTTGTTCCTCGACATGGGCATCTTCGCGCAGTACTTCATGTACCGCAACGATGACGAAGCGAGCGACATTGAGGACGAAGACGAAGAGAGCATCGACGGAGACCGGTGGGACCAGCGACCTCTGCTTGCGCGTGGTGACTCGACATACGCGTAAGAAAAGGTTGTTCGTTGTAAATTTGTATCAGGTACGGCATACACGGAAGTATTTTGGCGCATTTTTCATTCATTTACAAGGGAAAAAAGGAATGGGTCACTTGTGTTCAAAAGTTTTTATTGCATCCTGGAGTTGTTGTTGGTAAAAGAAAAATTGGGCGTCATTTGGAAAATATATGGTCAAAGATCATAAGAGGTAGATCATCTGACATAGATCATTTGATATCGACTAGAAGAGACATTCAGCTGTTTCACGAACGCCACCCACAAGCTAATTCCATTGCTTTGACATCTCTTACAACCATCCAATCCGCTTCCACAGAAAACTCGCTCCACCCATAAGGGCAGTGACGCCGGTGAAGACAATCAACGTGCCATACCCGCTGCCGTAACCATGCGCGGCCTGACCCTTCCACGGCAAACCCTTAATCAGCGTCTCGCTCAGAGGCCCCGAAATGACGTTACCGATTCCCCTCCCGGCAGCCAGCATACCAAACACCATCGACGGGTCCACACCGCGCTCCTTCTCACGCTCATGATCCGTCACCTGCTTCATAATTCCCGGCCAAGCCGAGGTATACGCTCCGGCAAACAGACCGTACACGACGCAGAAGAGATACAACACACCCAAGCTCGACGAGAACCCCCAGATCAGAAACGTGCCGAGTGCGGCGCCGGCGCTCGCGAGCATGATGCACGAGGGCGCCGAGAAGCGGTCGACCAACGACCCCATCCCCACGCACCCGAACACGGAGGCCACGTTGACGAGCAGGATCGTCAGCGCCGACGTGTACGCCGACGCGCCAAGCGTGCTCTGCGCGTACATGGGCAGGTAGATGCCCGGCAGGAAGAAGCCCAGCGCCTCCATGATGTTCGAGAGCTGGTGGAGCAGGAAGGGCCGGGACAGCATGAAGCGCAGATTGTTAAAGGGGCGCGCGTGGGTGGGCGGCACCGGGGCGCCGTGCGCGGCCGGGGGGATCCGCGGCTTGATGAAGAAGGCGAGCGGCGCCGTCAGGGCGAAGAGGAGGCCGGACCAGATGCGCAGGGTGGTGCGGAAGCCCATTGTGCCGAGGAGGTACTCGAGCAGGAGGGGGATGACGACGCCGCCGAGGCCGGTGCCGGACCACATGACGCCGTAGGCGAAGCCCTTGCGGCGGACGAACCACTGGTCCATGTAGAGGATGCAGGGGAGGTAGGCGATGGAGCCGCCGACGGCGTAGAAGATGCCCTGGGTGACGATGAGGTGGGTGACGGTCTGAGAGAAGGAGGAGAGGGCGAGGGCGAGGCACATGATGAATAGGCCGACGATGGGGGCGAAGCGGCTCTCGCGGGGGTAGAGGCGGAGTAGGCCAATTACGAGGAAGCCCGAGAGGTACATGATTCCCTGGGAAAACGATTAGCCTTGTCGGGTTTCAACGAGCGCAGGCGTTAGTTAGTTCGTACCATTGCGCAGGTGCCGATGACGGCGATGTTGCGCTCCCCTGCGAAAGGCGGGTTCGTGGAGTAGAAATTCTGGAAAACTCCAAAGGCGAAGGGGAAGCCCCAGACGAGGACCTCGAGGGCGAAGCAGGCGGCGAGGAAGAGCCAGGCCTGCTTCCCGCCGTCGACGGGCGGGAGTGAGGAGAATTCTTGGCTGGGATTATGGTCATCCCGAACGTTGTCGTCGGCGCCGGAGCCGGAGTCGGGAGACTCTGCAGCGTATGGGTCCCGAAGAGGCGGGGTAGTCGCCGGAGGAGGAGGAGGGGCAATGGGGACCCCGGTGAGGTGTCTCAGTTCTGTCTCTGAGGAAGACATGGCTGTGATTCCTGGATTGCAAGGGACCTGTAGAAACTTAGAAGCAGAAAACTGTCGTCATGCGAGGAGTCAGTGCTCAGTGTTGGAGGATGCAATGAGAATCGGATGCCGTTCCGACGGAGGATTTAAAGTGCGAAGGGTTGCAAAGGTAGCGGGGGCGCGATCGTGTTGGTGTCCACACTGCGCCCTCCAGTTGACGGTTCCCTTTACAGTGGAGGGGTGATCAACAGCTTGGCCAACCAAGAAGGCGTACGCTAATCTCACTGCAGCGTAAATTAGGGGTCTTTACGGGAGATTTGTCTCTGATTTTCCCGATTCTGGGATATTTTTTCTTTTCTTTTTCTTGCTACAAGTCGCCATTGTAAGTGTAGCGGTCAGGGAGGCCGGGGAGAAAGAGTACAAGGTGATTTGCCTTGCTCGAAAATACATGCCTCATTCGGAGTAAGTCTTACATAGCGGCCCGCAGCCCGTCGATTGCCGTGAGGGGTAGTACTCAGAAAGGAGTGAAAAGGTCATCATTGGGTGCCGGAAACTCCAAACTGCGGAGATCGGCTGAAGGTCCGGCTGCGGGTCCACAAAAAGACCCCGGGGCCGGGTTCGACAGTCCGTGTCGCCGTACTCCGTTCGGCACAAGGGGCCGGCCCCGGAGGTACACGGAGAATTGGAGTCACGGCGGGTTGATAACTGTCAGAAGGTTCGATGTCACATTCGATATGAGTGTCGAAACTGGGCAAGAGGGCAAGAGAATCATCCTTCGGAACCGAGCTTATCAGGGGCCGTCTTCGGCTCAGCAATTCTAATATGAGTTTCTTACCGTGTTTCCTCTCACCGCAGCCTTTCTTACTTGATCTCCTTCAGCACACCGCAAGCAAGATAGATATCGCGTACAATACAAGATTACGCAAAGCGTTCCGATAGCTTTCCGAAGACACTTCATCGTCTTGAAATATCACACCCCAAGATCACCCTTCTTCGGCCAGATCGGGTCATTGGATCCTGCATCTGAAGTTTCCCCGCCTAGTTTCGAAATGAATCCTACAAGCACACTCACTCTCAATCCCCGACAAACCGGCCCTAAAAGAATTCCCAAACACTTCGGTTGTCTCTCTTGAATCGCTCGCTCGCTCGCTGCTGAAGATTATTCTGGGCGTCGCAACCCTGCAAAAACAGCCCCGTAATCCGTCTAATCCGGAATACCACGCAAGATCGCGCATCTTCGTAAGCGGCGATCGCTCGGATTCGGGCATGAGACCGAAAAGAAGCAAAAAGCAGCCCCATCGATCCTCGATCATTCGTTGGTAAAAAACCTCGAGTCAGCGCCTCATTTTTTTAACGTACAGTTACAGTAGGTCGGGCTGTCCGAGATATCTTTAATCTATCACCCAACAAGATCACTTTCACCAACGCTTTTCCGGGGGCCGCATGCTATTTTCAGCATATTAATCAAGATTGATTAGCGAAGCCTCAAAATAACCCGCCTAGTCGCATTCCCTCATCCTCCAACATCCTCGTCTCATCTTGGCTTTTCCGTTATCCTTCACTTTCGCAAGAACACATTCAAGATGGGCGCCGAAAAGGCACGCCTCTTCTTCGTCCCAAGAAGGTGTAGGTACATTCGTGTCAAGGCAGGAACAAACTTTGCTCCCGGTGCAACCCTCATACATCAACCTCTTGTCATACCGACGCGCATTCCCGCGTTCGGTAATCTGAGGTCATCCCACCCCCCCTTCAATCCCTCAATCCGCCCACCAACACCATGGATGACCCGGCACGCAATAAGAAGGTCAGGCAAACCGCCTTGTCTCACACGGTCGCGCTGGGAAGGGATACCCCGAGCTCACATCACGCTCGCCCACCGATTCACCTTCTTCTTCTGAAGGTGAGCACCGAGCGAGCGTGTTAGATCGCGTCGGCCAACACACCCAACGTCGCCAGTCCGGGTAGTCGTACATCACCACACACCGAAAGTGCCGCCTGATCCAAGCCTCGTTCACCCTTGCAGCCTTTCCTTGTTGAAAGGTCCGCGTATTCTGCACGGCATGTCGTCGTACCACGGCTCGTTTGGCTCGCATTCAGGCCCACTGTTCAATATGCTTCTCAGCTCTGGCTCTGTGGCTGGCTGGGGCTTTTCTCCCATCTCTTTCTCGATCGGTGCCGCTCTTCCCATGCCAGAAACCGGGGGACACCCCCGGACCCGCGCGCGGTCCGCGGTTCTCAAACCCGTTCGTCGTTGTTCTCTGGACTCTTCCATCGAATCTTTTTTTTCCCTTGCTCGCTGCGTACCTATTAAAAAAGGATCTCCCGCACGTCCTCGTGTTCCGCGCTACTACGTGATCTGAGAACCTTTCGTGTACCTGGATTTTTTCTTTCTTGTGCCTGGCCCCGAGCTCTCGCCGTCTTCCTCCCAACCCATCGCTCGCATCATCGTCACCCTCGTTTCATAGTTTGAGAGCCCAGCTCCTCTTCCTAGCCGACTCGATACGGCAGCGAACCTCGATCAGAATTTCACCCGCGAAGGACAAACAGTCTCCAGGCATTTGAATAATCCGTAATTCCGGAATTTCAAAATGTCGGGTTCGATCGAGTACAGGCAGATGCCGATGGAGCCTGCGCCGGCCGTTGTCATTGACCCGAGAATCAGCTCCGAGCAACCCGTGAGTGCCCATCACCAACCCCGTTCTAGCAGAAGGCCTCTCGTGCTTTCGTCATTTCACAATGTCTCATATCATTTTCATCGAGAGGATCTGAAGAACATTCGAGCTGACTCTTTCCATTCAGCGCCCGATGGAACCTATGATGGTAGAACAGCCTACTCACCTTCGAGGTGGTAAAGGTGACGGCGGAGTAAGTGGAACAACCCCCCGGCCCCATCCGTATTCGATACGGATCCATCTACGACCACTCCCTTCTCCCAACTTCTCGCACGTCTTGCCCACTCTTGTCGTCTTTGAAGATTACACATCGACGTCTTCAAGTCGTGTGAGGGAGCTTTGGGGAAGCTGATGCTCGAGACTCACCGTCGTGAAAACAAAATAGCTAACAGAATTTCTGAAGGCCATCTGCTGCGGCATCTGCGCTGGTCTCTGCTGTTTTGAGCTATGCGACTGTTGCTGCTGTTGCTGCTAGTCCTATACTCCCGGGAAAGGGCACTCGACGCTCATCATGTTCGGCTAGAATTCATAGGAGAGGATCATCATCAAGTCCCGCCGAGGTCGACGAATACGAAACGACCATCCGGCGGACATGCGAAAGCGGGCGGTTCGATATGGTGTTATGATGTTTACGGACGGATTGGGAGGCGCAACTTTTACATATACCTAAGCATGGGTTCATGCTGTCGAGATCTTGTATAAAAATATAGAAATAAATGTATTTGGGTATTTCGAGCTGTTTTGCACCGCCTTCGCGATGTTACTTAAGCTGGTGCGCTTATCACCTTTCTACCTCTTGCTCATCTGAACCCCGGCGCAGAGGCTCTGGTAGTACACAGCGTCTATCCTGTCATGCGTGCGCACGACTACAGCCCCAGAACTTTCGTCTAAGTCTATCACGTCTTCCTCGGTTTTGCGAAACATCGTCTTCGGATATCGTAGCATCTCACAACTTCGCGCGAGGCTCCTCGGGCCTGAAATTGTTTGTTAGTGCCGATTCAAGCCTCACCAATACACATTAACTCACTTAGCAATCTTCTCGGTCTCCTTCATGATGGCACCGCCAAGCTCGGTGTTGACCCTGGAGAACATCTCGTAGGCCTTGGCGCGGACCTCGGGGACGGCTCCGGCCAGAGCGCCGGAAACGTTCTTGATGAAGTTGGCCTGCTGGCCCTCCTGGCGGCCCAGGACCTTCCAGAGACCGTTGGCCTGCTCGTAGTCCTGCTCGGTGACGGGGCCGAAGAGGTCTTCGACGACCTTGCCAGCCCACTGCTCGTGGGGGTTGGAGGCCTTGACGGCCTTGTAGTTCAGGGGGCGGAAAGTAGAGGGGTAGTTCTGGGGACATGTCAGCTTGCTTGAAGTTCTGAGCCATTCGCATCAACAACTTACAGGGTTCGCGCCGTAGTTACCATCGACCTGCATGGCGCCGTCCCTCTGGAAGGGGTTGAAAGCGTTGAGGGGCTTGTTGGCGGGAATCTGCTGGTAGTTCACACCGAGGCGGTGACGGTGGGTATCGGGGTATGAGAACAGACGGGACTGCAGAACGGGGTCGGCAGAGGGCTCGACACCAGGAACCAAGTGAGAGGGCGAAAAGGCGGCCTGTTCGATCTCGGCGAAGTAGTTCTCGGGGTTCTTGTTGAGGGTGAGCTTGCCGAAGGGCCTCAGGGGCACCTCGCTCTGAGGCCAGACCTTGGTGAGGTCAAAGATGTTCCACTTGAACTTCTCGGCCTGCTCAGGGGTCAGGGTCTGAACGTAGACCGTCCAGCTGGGGTATTTGCCCTTCTGGATGGACTCGAACAGGTCCTGGGTGTGCCAGTCGGGGTTCTCGGAGGCCAGCTTGCCAGCCTCCTCGTTGGTGAAAGTCTTGTTTCCTTGGTCGGTCTTGAGGTGAATCTGAACGTAAACGAAGGAGCCGTCGGGCTTGGTCCACTTGTGCGTGTGGCCGGAGTAACCGTTCATGTGGCGGTATGAGTAAGGAGTTCCGCGATCAGAGAACAAATGCATCAGTTGATGAATGCACTCCTGGTTGTTTACCCAGTAGTCCCACTAGAATTCGACTTAATTTGACGTCACTTCAAGTCCGGAATCGATTGCTTACCATCTGGTCGGGTTAGCGAAGTTGTGATACACGGTGTGGTGTTGAGACTTACCATAGTCGCATCTTTGAGGTTAGTCTGCGGGTGGCGCTTCTGAGTGTGGATAAAGACCTAGAGACAGTCAAGTCAGATTTAGAAACACCTATTCGACGGTCGCAATTACCGGGAAAAGACTGGGGTCGCGAATGAAGAAGATGGGCGTGTTGTTGTAAACCCAATCCCAGTTGCCCTCCTCAGTGTAGAACTTCAGGGCGAAACCTCGCGGGTCACGCGCAGAATCGGCAGAACCCTTCTCGCCACCGACGGTCGAGAAACGAACAAGAGTCTTGGTCTTCTTTCCGACTTCGCTGAGCATGTTGATTGAAGTGATGTCGCTAATGTCGTGGGTAACCTCGAACTGTTCACGCGCATCAGCATCCATGTCCAACACGAAGTCGCCTTTGTTCCCGTACCTCGCCATAAGCACCCGCACCCTTGGCGTGTACAACGCGCTCAGGAATACGCTCGCGGTCGAAGTGAGCGAGCAAATCAATCAGATGGAAGTCCTGGAGCAGAAGAGGTCCGCTGGGACCAGGGCGCTGCCACTGCTTCACACTGCTGACCGGAGCGCCATTGGATGTGGTGTAAGTCGGCTTCTCGTTGTAGCGGTAGGTGGAAGGAGGCTTCTCGTCGGACCCCATTGTGACGGTTGTCTCTCGGATCGAGGTTGAGACTGCTTGGAGGTTCGGGTATTGGAGTATCGGGGTCGGAGGGTTACACTTGAGTCCAAGTCGGATATCAAGACACAGAAGCGGCAATTGGCAATTCAGATCAAAAGAAGATCGGAGAGGGTCTCCAGGGGTCCAATGGAGGGAAGGGGAAAGATAAATACCCCAAAGACTCTGCGCAGAGAAAAAGAACTGCAACCCCGGGCAATCATCGAGCTGCTACTGCTACGATGGATCCTCTTTCACACCTCGACCCCTCCCCTTCCTGCTCCAGTTTCTCTGCCTCTCCCCATTTCTTTCGGCTTTGGGGGGCACTTTCTCCCAGTCAGGGCGCTCAAGTTACGAAGCAAAAGCCAGGGCACGACGTGCGTCGACCGGCAGGGATGGCATCAGATTTGAGAAGCTCCGGCGCGCCACGGCCAATGGTATGTCACATAAATGCAAGCTTGGGGTGTTGAGGTCCACAGGAAGCTCCATTCCAACCCCTTGTAGCTCCACCCCTGCTTTCTCTGAGTTGTGTTGACGGTTGTGAAGACGATTCAGAAGCAAGACGGACGGCCTTGATAGCCGATTGCTTTTCATTTTTCCAGTTTTAGAAACCTCGGTTCATCTACCAGTCTTCACTAGTTTTACTCTTCAACACGGTTAGCCGCATCTTTAGCAACAGAACCCGTTGGGCTACGCCATTTAAACAGAGCAGACTCCGGCCGGAGCCAGCAGATACACGCTTGTCAGACAAGACATGCGCTCATCCTCGGCTCACACACGCCTGCTGGCTCCTCCGACAACGGCATGGTCCCACAACCACTTCCGCCAAGTTGCTTCCTGCCGGGTACATCAGTCATGTCCCGGGCTTGCTGACCTCCCCAGATGTTGCGGGGGAGATGTTTCTGCGTCGCAACCGACCGTCTTCGTCGTCGGGTTCGAGAGGTTCCAGCCTTGAGCGATGCGGAGAAAACTCGCTGAGAGGGAGGACAAACCAACATGGATGCGCCGGCTCGGCGTGCTACCGGTGGGCGACCGGCCTATGTTCTACAGACACATCAGGCCACTTATATGTGCCTCGACGGCTGAGCTAGCCCTCCATCTGTGCAAAATCTCCGGCGAGACGTCCGGAGAGGACAAAACGTTGCAAGTCAAGCAGCGCGCCAATCGGCTCGGCAGGCGAGGATGAGCCTGCTTAGTTCCAGACTGCAGATGACATCCAGACACCGTCGGCCTTTGGATGAACCACTGCGTTCCAGATGAGCAAACTCCGAAGCTCTATTGCCACAACCTAAATCCTACAGCGGGAGGCTGTCTTGTCGAAAACCTCACCGGGATGACTTTCTCCCAGCTGGGCTAGACATGGCAGCAACTCGCATCGTGTCTTTTACCCGAATCGGGAAATGTGAGAGAGAGGACATGACATCATTGGCCAGCAAGGCAGGCCTCGCCGGGACGTGTCCTATCGGGACGACCTTCCTTGTCCTCTGCGTGTGGAGCGAGAAACGGCACATATCGCCGAAATCGCGACATGTCCGGGCTGTTCATAAAAGAATGGGCGCGTGCTAATGTTTCTACCAATTTTTTTTTTGTTCATTCAGTCGCCGGGGATGGTCTCGCGTCCTCACATGATCGGCTTTCGGTTGCCATTCCGTTGCCCCCCGGCTGGCTTTCCGACGCCGGTAAGAACGCGCCTGAGCTCTCTGCGCCGAGACCGCCGAGATTTCAACTCGCATCTCGGCGATATCCCGGAGGTTGCCGGCTTTCAAAGTTCAAATTTTCGAACAAAGCAGCGGTTGTCAAGTCCTATGTGAATTCGAAAATTAAGATGCAACAGTTCGCACCCGAGTGAACTAATACCTCCTGTCTCGGGAGATCCCGATATTTGTAGCTGGACAGCTGGCTTGTTCCGGGGCACTCCGCCGCAGTGGTCGGGAAACTCCAGAAAAGACTCTCGGAATTGAATTGACTGAACCGGGGTAGAGCAAACCGTCATTCCGAAGATGCCACTCAAAGGAAGCCGAACGGCCCAGAATTGACCAGGATTAGCTCGGAAGTCAAATGGCTGATCACCCGCTACGCTAACCGTTGATCAGTGAAGTAAAGCTTCGATTGCTTCCCATAGAAGCCGTCCTGCCATAAATTACACAGCAGGTCGACTTGAGATCTGAACATGGGATAGTCATCAGAGTTTAGGTCATTCGAGTATACCTACAATGTCAAATCCGCAATAAGTTGCACTTGGCTCAACTGGACGTAGCCTAGGTCGAAAGCGAAATGCCTGTTGTGAACATCGCAAATCTCAGCATCTTCGTCACGAGGTGCAGTCAAACTTCTAGAGGCCAGCACTTCCCGGCCCCCCACGAAGCACGAGGGCGACACGATCACTTATCGAAGCAGGAACAAGACATTAGGTGTCACGCCGGGGAGCCGGATGTTCTTTCGAACGCAGCCGTACCTGCCATCTCGTCCGCCGCAAACACGGATCACGGAAGACAAGAAAACATGCCGGGCGGGGATTTACGAACAAAAACGTTCTCGGACGTTGTGTTGCGAGAGGCTCCTCGAGTGAGATGGCGCGCCACGAGGATCATCGTGGATTGTCCGTCGAGATTCCGACTCGGTTGATAGATCGTGCTTCAGCTACGATGGCGCTCCACCGTTGACCCGAGGCGCCATGAATAGGACTAGTGAACTACTTTGTGGTTTCCCTCGATTCTTTCAGGGATCGCTTGTTGAATGGACGCTCGTCTTTCAACCAACGTCTGTTCAAGTTCATGAGACCATGGTATCAGCGTCAATTTGAAGCCGCAGTTGGCTCAGTTGAAAATCTCGTGCCAAACCATTCACTCTGCAAGTAGCCGATGATAGGTGGTCTTTGCATTCCGAAAACAAACCCTCATAGAAACTCCCCTATTGGATGGAGAAACCAATGAACAGTTTTGTCCCACAAAGAGCGCCGTGAGCTACGAACCGTACGATCGAGTCGAATAGCTACCCAGCGGTGGCCAAGCATAGAAATCAAATCAAGCCCATCGACCATTTCTTTCCCCAGTCTTAGCTTGTCCACCTTCAAGCCAAATCTGATCTCAGTGATGCTACACTCAGAAACCGCCCGCTTCTACACCCAACAATACCTCCCTCGCAGGTTCGATCTTCCCGAGAAAACATCTCACAAGCTTGGTTCGACACGAGGGTGGACAAGCAGCAAAGGGGCAAACGTGGCAAACGTAAACTCTCCGCGCCGGAGAGAGGAAACGTCACACCCGCATCCGACCCGGCTTCGACATGTGTGCGCGTGTTGTATATGTGATAACGATGGCGTTTGTGAGCAAACAGCAGCCCATCACTGTGCGTACAAGTGTGGATGAGTGAGAAAGATGAGTGAATCGGAGATGTAGTGGGCAGTCATGAACGAAATCCAGGCCGCTCAGCCAGCCACAAATATCTGGAAAGCTTCCTCATCCCCTAAACTCTCACACACAGCTCGTCAGCTTCATGTCTTGAGTAGCCTACCACCTGGTATCATATCTATGCCTCTTAGCCCCTGAGAAACCAAAACTCGTCACAACGATGCTCAAAACCGCAATCATCCTCCTCAGCGTCGCCGTCTCGGCGACGGCATCATCATCATCATCATCACCCTCGCCAGGAGGAACCGTCCACCCCCTCCTCCCTCGAAACCAAGAATCCCAACCCCTCGCCGCCGACTTCTGCGACAAGGGCCAGAAACGCTGCTTCTGGGGCTGCATCGACGACCACGACCAGTGCTGCTTCGACATCAACCGCGACGAGCCCTGGTCCTGTCCCGAAGAGGACACCTGCGGCGGCGCCCCCCGGTTCGGGTGCTACAGGCCGCCCGCCGCCGCCACTACCACGACGTCTTCGCCGCCGCCCGCGAGGACGTCTCGGTACCCACGACCCGGCGAGCCGGGCTTCAACCCGACCTTCACCGTCTCCGACCACTTCGACCCGCCCAGGACAACGACCAAGAACGCCGAGAGGCCCGGCTCGACGCAGGTCGTCGCCGAGTCCTCGTCCCCGGGAGTGCTGTCCACCCGCGATACTTGCTTCTTCGGGGCGGGATCGGTGGCCGTGGCAGCGGCGGCGGAAGATGTCACGGGGTCTAGTTCCGATTTGTTCGGGGGTTGCCCCCCTGCGCTGACGTCCGTTACGAACGAGGTTGGCGGCTCGGGGCTGGTTGTGAGAGCCCGGTCTTGGGTTGTCGTTACGATGGTGGGGGTTTTGGGGTTGCTGTTGGCGGGTGGGCTGGCCTGAATGGGGATGTGTTGGTTATGGTGTTGTTATGTGGGCAGTTAGTCATTCAGTCGTAGTTCACAGCTTTCAAAGTGTTTTCAATTGTCTCGTTTTCACATACGATGTCGTTGAACTATTTCGGGGTCCAATGATGGCGACTCGATGCTATTGAAGATTATCCTTTCCAAGTGAGCATCGACTTGACTTCCAATAATGAGTCAGACCACGGTTCATGAGGAGGGGACACCACAGTCAGGACGAGGGAAAACCCAGTTCCAAAAATCACAAGCAAGAAATGCTCAGTGACCTGCGCCACAAGCACATGAGCCGCTCTGCAACCTCAAAACATCCGTCGAACAGAACCGGGGACGCGGTACGACGTGCCCGTGCTGGCATTAGAAACGTATAACTGATAAAAAGACAGTAACTCGACTTGAGTTCTTCTCCTCTCCTACGGCCCTCTGATCGCCCCGCGAAATGTGTCTGCGCAATCCGATCCTGTCCTTCTAGGACGCCTGGCGAGTAAGAGTGGAACTGAATGAGCCTCCTTGAGCAGTCACACCTTTCGCTCGTGTCCTTCATAAAGAAGAACCTCCAGTACGCCGAGACGGACCAGTGCGGAGGTAGTACCTTGCGCACCTGTTCTTCGCAAAACAACAGACGCCAATCAACACACCCCAATGCGCAGATCCTACCCAAACGAGGGGCGTTTGTATTATAAATCGTGAGGTGCGTTATATATCGAGACCGGAGGACTTGCTGCACAGAGTCCAAGGACGGAAGACCGGTTCTCTTATGACTCCTGGTTCACGGTTTGCTGGGAGGATGTTAGCGTCTTCTCGCACATAGTGATAGCTCGCCTTGCGCCTCAACGCGGGGCAGAATAACGTACGACCAGCCAGTCCATGCCCTCAGTCACACCGCTGCCGTCGACTGCGGAACAAGCCATGATGCTCCAGTTCCGGTCGCGCAGCTCGCCTAGTCGCAGCGCCTCCGAGATCTCACCCGCACCCTTGGCACCGGGCTGGTCCTGCTTGTTGGCGAAGACGAGGAGGGAGGCATCCTTGAGTTCCTCCTCGTTCAGCATGGCGCCCAGCTCTTCTGCGGCGGTCTGCAGACGTTCGATATCGGTCGAGTCGACGACGAAGATGACAGCGGCCGTGTTGGCGTAGTAACACCGCCAGTACGGCCGGATGCTGGTCTGACCGCCTAGATCCTATGGACGCGCGCGTGGTGTCAGTCTCGAGCTGCGGAGGATGTACGGAGGCAGGGGTTCTCGCATACCCAGACGTTGAAATTGAGGTTCTTATATGTGACGGACTCGACGTTGAATCCTATCGTCGGGATCGTGGTGACAACCTCGCCAATCTACCATAAACAAAATGTCAGTCCCGAACTGAACGTCTCCATGCGCCGCGCACGCTTGCGGTCTGCTGGACCAACTCACCTTCAGCCTGTACAAAAGTGTCGTCTTGCCTGCGTTATCCTAAAATCGCCAACATTGTGGTTTGTCAGCCTTGCATCTCTGCGTTTCGGAGGTCGCTGACTCCAGGGGGGTTGCGGCGGCAGCGGCGCGGGTGCATCTGCATACCAAGCCCAGGATCAATATCCGGATCTCCTTCTTCGACCACAGGAGGCCGGACAGCCATGACATGCTCGCGCCCATCTTGGAGAAGAGTTGTGGTGTGTTTGCTCGGTGTTGTTGGGTGTTGGTTTGCGGGTGGATGCGTTCGCTGCGACTGTACAGAGTACTCCTGCGCGGTTGGCCTCGGGACGAGGAAAGGTTAAAGGTGACAAGCAACACAAAGGTGGCTTGTTTCTATCCAGGGGCCGCCCAAGTTACAATGACAGATGCAAGACCGCCGTCCGGGTTATGTACAAAGCGACTTAGGAGAATGGCATAGACGGCTCGAAAGGACACTCAGGCAACTCTCGTTGTATTGGGCGTTTCAAAGATCGGTGATTCGTTCGTTTCGTCGTATTCGTTAGAGAGAAAAAGAGAAGGCCTCCTCGGGTTTTTTTTCTTTGTAAATTCCAGCTGATGGACAAAGAACCGTTGCAAAAGAATCTCGATGGCCCCCTAAAGGTACGGAATGACCCCCTAATTGACAGTTTTTAAGACATGCCCTGCATGGATGGGAAATCTAGCGTTCAAACGGGTCCGCGGGCCTGCCACTTCTGGGATCGTCGGCCGCTCGAGCCTATCGGCATTTCAGGGATTATCACATAAGCGGATTTGGCGGCGTAGCTTTCGGAAGCGAGCCTGAGGCAGGAACGAAGGCGTCACTAACAGCCTTATCTAATCAGCCCGTGGCAGCCGCAACCTGAGAAATTCTGGGGCGGTGCACCCGCCTGGCCAGTGGTGGAGCTGAGGCGAGTGACTCCCTCCCTGTCCTGCAGTGGAAAAAGCGTGACCGGCCCCCACCTCTTGCCCACCCCGCCAATCAGGGCAATTGCGGGCTCGGTAAACCTACAGGCGTCGTGCACAAAGAATTTCTGATTTCTCGACACCCATCAACCCATCGGAGAACCAACTGCACCCAAAGGACTCGACTACGTTGATCAACAGCCGTCAAAATGCCGGTATGTGATGACGCCCTTTCCCTGACCTCACGACGATGATGATACTGCCGCCGACCGATTTTCCCGGAAGAAACTGAGCGCGTGCTTCGCGCGGGTTCGCGCCCTGCGTCGAACGGAATTCGAGGAGGGGCAATATCATCACGATCGGGGGAAGAGGGAGCAACGACAGAAACGTCAGACCCCGAAGCAATCTTGCTGACCTTTGAAATCACCACAGAGCCACAAGTCTTTCCGCACGAAGCAGAAGCTCGCCAAGGCGCAGAAGCAGAACCGCCCCATTCCCCAATGGATTCGCCTTCGCACCGGTAACACCATTCGGTACGACACCTCCTCTGCCGCAGCTCCGTTTGCTCTTGGAATCATCGCAATGATCTGGGAACAGATAGGGGAGGCGCGCATACAACACGATCCCGCGGACCGAGGAACCGATTTGCTAACCCGTTCGTGATAGCTACAACGCGAAGAGACGCCACTGGCGTAAGACCCGCCTCGGCATCTAAACACCTCGCACCTTCTCTCTCGAACCCACCCTACCTGTGTCTCATCTCGATGGTACCGCCGACCGACGACACTGCGCTCGACTTGGAATTTTCTGGGAGGGGTTTTTACGGACTCAAATACCACTGGCACGAGTCCGATCGTGGGAGTCTCAGGATGGAGAAAAATGGGAGGAATAACCTGGATGCCCGGCTCCGGCTAGACTCTACGTATTGCATGTTACGGTCATAGGGAAAGGAATGCAAAATCATTGATGCCTCTGAATGAAGACATGGGGTTCCACACTTTTCCGGTTCATATCAGCTGTGGTGATTTTGGTGATGTGGGATACCTTCGATCCAAGGTGACTAGTAGAACGACCTCTGATGGCTAAGGTACTACGGGCAGTAAAACAGAGGCAGGTGAGGGCATCTTGCTCGCACTTCTAGAAGTACAAGACGACAAGCCGTCCAGGGCCATAAAAGGTCTTTGAGGCCAAAGAACGGACGCCTCTCCGTAGCTGGAAGACGAGGCCTCCCTCATTACCTATTTTGTGCTTTTTCACTTAAGCGGCCTGCCAAGGGGCCTCATTCTATACTCGCGGAGGCTGAGAGGCTCGTATTCTCCTTGATCCTGGTATCCGGAGACGCGATGGTGATGTGAGGTGTCCAAGCGGCAGAAGCATCCTCCAGAGGTCGAGTTCAGACGGTATGACCTCACAAACAACAAAGCAAGTCAATGTGGCATGTGAGAGAATTTCTGTGGGTATGACTGAATAGGCGGTCTGCCTTTAACCGTTTTCCTAAGCAAACCTAAATGGCAGCGACTCCGCTGCTCGATGTTCGACCACCTTACTGCTATCTCCTGGTGGGACAAACAAACCTGGTCCCAAGTAACCCATGACTCTCCAGGTGCCTTTGGCGGCTGTCTCGAAAAGTGAATCAAACGCCGAAAAATGATGCATAACACGTAAATAGCGGGTTGGAGATGGCCATCTCAGGCTGTCCCGCCACTGGAGTTATCAATCTCTTAACGGTCCTCGGCCCACTCGTTCTCGCGGCGGATCTGCTCCTCCTCCTCGGGCGTGAAGTCGTTGGTGATGTTGAACGTCTTGCGGATCTCCTCCGGAGACTTGCCCTTGATCATGTTGGCGACAGTCTTGCAACCGACGTCAAGAAGGGGCTTGATGTCGAGGTAGTTGGAGGCCTGGGAAAATGAGTCAGCAGAGATCCAGATGGAGTATCAGGGAAGGGAAACGTACGAGGATGATCTCGAAGAGCATCTCCTGGTCGACCTGCATGAACTTCTGGTCCCACTCTTCGATCTCGGTAGTCTTCTTGCGGGCGTCGTTCTCCTCGTCCTGAGCCTGGACGGGATCGAGGCGGTGATGCTCGCACCACTCGATGACCTTGCGAAGAACGGCCTCGTTGACGTTGGGAATGGGGATGGGGTTCGTCTGGCTGATGGCTTCGTCGCCAACGTCCTCGAGCATGTTCTTGAGGAGCATAGAGCGCTCCGCGACCGAACGATCTAGGCGCAGACAGTTAGCAGAGTGCGACGACGGAAGAAGGCGGGACCTTCCAGAGAGAGAAAGGACGATGTGACGTACCAACTGGGATGGTGATGTTGTCGTTGGACTGCACCCAGATCTTGGAGTCCTTCTTGTCGGAGGCAGACATTTTGATTGATTGATTCGACTTGTGCGTTTGCAAAGATCTTGGGATTGTTAGTTGGAATGTGGTTGGCAGCAACAGAATGCGCGACGTGGAGTGGTAGATGCGGTGGGGCGAGATGTTGAGTTGATGGATGGGAAGACAGAAGACGAAAGCCGAAGTGAGGGGTCGGTCGAGATATATACCTAAGGTAGGTGCAGGTCCGGCTTAGTGATTTGCGGTATCTGGAGAAAGGAGAGGTATCGCGCAAAATAAAACCGTGATTGAGAAGTTTAATGCTGCTCCCAAGGTGCGGCGGTTGGTGGTGGATGAAGATGGCTTTTGAATCACAGTCTGACGTTGGCTCAGATAGTTTTGGGAGCGGGCGGGCAAGGCAGAGGCAGCAGACACTGCCCATGGATGGCCAACCTTGTGGAGAAAGGAAGGGGCAGAGGCACACAGGCGCGTGGCTGCCTTTGGAAGAAGTCAAGGAAAGAGCCCATCAGATTGGCTGGACGAGATGGATATGTGGGTCCGCTGCCTAGAGACCAGCCATGTCGAGTGCAGGTGCAGGTGCAGGTGAATGGTCCCTTTGGTGCGGGAAACTTTCTTCCATCACCGCTGCAGCTGGACCTGCTGAGGCCTCAAAGGACGTGGACGCGGACGGCAAAGACTCATCCAAGGGCCCGCTATACCACGGCGGCTCAAGGCAGGTACCCTTTTAGATCCGGACAGCGTTTGTCTGTTTTTCTCATCTCAGTCCATTTGCAGCAGGGATTGTCAGGCAGATACAATCAACCCGGACTAGAAGGAAGGCTCGATGCTCATTCTGAGCCCACCTCTGTATCAACAATTATTACGGTAAACTGCAGTTTACTGCCTGGGACTCCCTCAAACGGAGCCAAACTCCTGCTTTCTTTGGGAAAGTGCTATGCTGGGAACCAAAATCGGATACAATGCTACCTACGGTAAATCTATTTGTACCTTTGTTGGCGTGTCTGTTGGTGCCTTGTTGATCCAAGGTTCTCAAAGGTCACCTGAACCACCAACCAACAATAAAGTCGTCAGTCATAAGGAACCTACCTACCTGGGTACCGAGGTGCAATCAGACCAGAGAATTGAAGTTGTCGTCCCAACTTAGTTTCGCTTCGGACTGAGGCTTGGTTTATTCTTAGTAAACCTTCATCATGGGAAGAGGACGGCATAGTTCTAGAAGTCGCTGGAAACCAAAAGAATCCTGGCATCGCACCACCAAAACACAATTTCATCCAGCACCTTAAATTTTCCGTACGTCTCCGGACCTGCGGACCTACACCGGGCGGTTTCGGCGATGGGTATCGGAGAAACGGCCTTGCGCGTACGCGCGCGGAGCGGAGCGCTCGGTAGCATCTCCGAAGCTGTTTCCGCTATTTCTCCGTCGCGCCGTGACGAATGCTCCGCCTCCACCAAAAGCGTCGTGCAGTCCATGTCCAAGACGCATCAACGGGTGGTCTGACTCCTGGGAGATGAGTTGAATCTCAGCTCATAGCATCTTTGGTGCTATATTCAGGGCTGTGAATGCAAGCCTCACCGCATCACCCGAGCGCGGTTAGGTCCTGTCGACACGAAGTTCAAGTATTACCGACCTACAACAATCGTATGCTCCAGTGACGATGTGATCGTTGCCTGCAATGTATACTAGGAAGAATGGTGAGAGATAAGAGGCGAACGCGAGAGCGAGCTGCAGCCTCTCGCAAGCCGCAAGTAGGTGCGCAAATAGCCTGTTGACCACAATACGTACTTCAATGTGGACACAAAAGATAGGTTTTCGCATTGCAATGGATAATTCGTTCAAGCCTCTTTTCCTGGGGCACACTGGGAAGCATTCAACTCCATGGGAAAACGCCGGCGGACATAGGCTGCGCCCCTATGTCCGTGATATAAATGCTCTGCGACACAGCGGACAAAGACGAGGCCCGAGGACCCGTCGAAATCCCACCCTAGAGCCTTACGATTAATTAATTCAACTATGTATGTTATGTCACTTCGTGGAAAGGGACTCGAAGCTGGTTCGCCTCTGTTGTATGTTATTCGAGGGGCGAACGAGCACCAAGAAACAAAGCCGTTTCCCGAGGAGATGAGGGGCAAGCCGTGATGCATAATGACAACGAGATGGGCATCGTCCGAGAAACCTGCTGACTGAGTTGGACTTCTGTGGTTGGTCCTGGTCTTGGTCTACCTTAGCAAGGGAAAGGGGTCCCAGACGTTGGGAAAGGAGGGAGAAGTTCGAGAACGAGTGGACTGGAACACCGGGGAAGAGGAAAGGAGCCACAAAACGGAGCCACTGACATTCTGCCTTACCGATTCTGTGATAGCAGCAGGGTTCTGCATTGTTGCAAGGGCCGTTGAAGCGGGCTCTGAGGAGGGCACACCTGCAAAAAGTCTCGGTTTTTGCCAACAAACACCACCGTCGCGTCACGCTGCGTGGAACGGGACAAATGGGCTGGCTACCCCTGCCAGCTGCCGTGGAATAAGCATTCACCAAGCAGAAGCAGGGCAGCGGCCAGCCAACTGCCAGCCTGGACAGAGGACACGCATCGCGCCTTCCCCTAGGTTCCCTGCTCGAAAATGATAATCCTCGACCTCGACACCCACTTACTCTAGGCTCTAGACCCGAGCTCACCAGACCTTCCTCTCACCTGGCTCCGGTGATTCGAGAAGCACCACCAAACACCAGCAGCAAAGGCCATGTGCCTAAGAGTGCCTCCCACCTTAATCAGACATTGCGGATACCTTGCAATAGAACAAAATCACAATCCTGGCAAGGTCCGACCTATCAGTCATCCCGTCCCGTCCGAACCTTGCCCTTAGGAGTCCCCTCCGTGCCTCCGTGCGCCTGAGTCTGAGCCTGAACTGCACTCAGAGCGGCGCGCCAAATCCAAAATATCCTGACCATCACCCTACTTGTTGTGCCTTGCGCTACTCGTTTCTTCTTTTTCTTTCCTCTCTTCCCTCCTCACCGGCCTCACCTTGAGTTTGCCGTAATCTTCCCTTCTTGATTGTGTTTGTCCAACCCTACCTACCTACTTCTTGCTCCTTCTCGCGGCCTCTACTTGCGCAGGGCGAACAGTCGCATACTTGTTCATTACATGCCCCCTCCCCCTCGATAATGCGACTTTGCGACCACTCCTTGAACACCCAACCGAACATTCGACCCTGCCCAGGTTAATCATCTGGCACGCCTTGCAAATCTGGTTCTGCGACTACAAACCGATGCTTCAGCTGCGCGCAGCTTCGACCAAGAACAAATAATTCAGAGCACTGAGAGCCATGTGGCGGCGGACATACCTGTTCCTCGTCCTGGTACGGTTGTGGTTTGCGCTGTCGCCCAGCTACCTGCACCCGGATGAGAACTTCCAAGGCCCGGAGGTCATCGCAGGTATGTTGCTATCCGGTTCCTCATTCCTTTCGCATCGTTTGCGTCGGGCGCGCACAGCTTTGCCCTGCCCCTTGGAGCTTCCCAGAGCTTCCGTGGAGCTCCCTCGCATTGACTTTCGCGCTCGTTTTCGCTCCCGAGTACCTGAGCTAACGCCGTGGCGCAGGCCAAATCTTCAGCTACCCAGTCCGACACACATGGGAATTCACAAACGAGCACCCTATACGAAGCGTTTTCCCGTTATGGCCCGTTTACGGTTTGCCGATGCTACTGCTGCGTTGGCTATGGATTGGCAACGGCCAAGACGGAGAGATCCCTCCAATCGCTGTGTTTTGGGCCCTGCGCGTCCTGATGTTCCTCACCAGCTTCGTCCTCGAGGACTGGGCCATCCACGAGCTCATTAGCTCCCCGCGACACCGTCGCGTTGCTGTGCTTCTGGTCGCATCCTCGTATGTGACCTGGACCTACCAAACACACACCTTCTCGAACTCGGTAGAATGTTTGGTCGTCGCATGGTGCCTGGTATTGATCCAGCGCATTGTCGAGAGCCCGGTAACGAACCCTCGAGCAGGATTCTGTTTGCAACCGAAATGCTAATATCCTTGATAGCAACAATCATCACTTCTTGCTTCTACGATACTCGGAATCGTTGCCGTCTTTGGATTATTCAATAGGATTACTTTCCCGGCTTTTTTGTTGATTCCGGGCCTTCGCTTGATACCCCATTTTCTCAATAGGTATGAAGCGTCAGTCACACCCTCAATATGAGATCAGGCACTTACAACTTTTCAGACCCCTGTCACTCACCGTCATGGTGTTGGCTGCACTTACGACTGCCCTCGTTGCCATTACCCTGGATACGGCATTCTATATTCCTGAGCCCATCAAATGGGCAGACCTAATTTCCCGCCCCGTCATCACGCCACTCAACAACCTCAAGTACAACATCGATCCCGATAACCTGGCTCAGCATGGACTGCACCCCTGGTACCAACACCTGTTGGTCAACATCCCCATGCTGATCGGGCCAGCTGCTCTACTGCTGTTCACCCAGCCGCACATCTCTTTGCGGCTGTACTCGGCCATCTCTGGCGTCTTTGTGCTGTCTATCTTCCAGCATCAGGAGGCCCGATTCCTGCTACCAACAGTGCCGCTGATTCTCTCGTCGGTCAACCTCCCCAAGAACCGCAGTGTTCTTCGGGTATGGATAGCTGTTTGGATAGGCTTCAACTTCTTCTTTGGCATCCTCATGGGCATCTACCACCAAGGCGGAATTGTGCCTGGCCAGGTATTTTTAAGCAAACAACCGGACGCAACCCAGGCCGTGTGGTGGAAGACTTACACACCACCCATCTGGCTTCTTAATGGCAAGAACGAAGTTCTTACTACCCGCGATGTGATGGGTATGAAAGGCGAAAAGTTGCTCGAGGAATTGGACAAGCTCGCAACATGCGACATACCAGCAGACAGACGTAACTCAGAGTATCTGAAGGAGAAGAACGGCACCTATCTGATTGCACCGGCATCGGCAACGTGGATCGACCCTTTCCTTCCCAACAAGGGCCTTAAGGGCCTCCGTTTCCGCGAGGTATGGCGGTACAGGCAACATCTGAACCTCGACGACCTCGACTTTGGCAACGATGGTGTGTGGAATACACTCACGCGAGTAATTGGGAGGCGCGGCCTCGTCGCGTGGCGCGTCACGAAGAGTTGCAAATGAGGAGGGAACGCACAAAAAGACAGCGAATGAATAATTTAACGTTTGATGACATTTTACGAACGCTCGAATGGAAGTGGTATCACACATGCCCCTAGATCACGAACATCGTATCCCGAAAACGCCGATAACTCCTTCTCCATGCCGCGTACATAAGACGCCGGTCTCTTTTTCACCGCCCAGCATCGTCAAGACGTAGAAACACTTCTTTTCCATAGCGCAGTGCAGTAGGCGCCTTGTAAACGTTATGCGCCGTCAACCCACCAAACGTATTCGATGTACGTAGGGGGTCACCATATGTATGCATCAAGCCTCGTGTTTTCGAGCTCGGCCTCCAGCCCGTCTCACGGTAATTTTGAAGCATCGGTACCGTTGAGATCGACGGCGAAGAGCCAGTTCCCAGAGACGTTGGGTTTCCCTAGGCGGCTCTTCATCCAACACACGTGGTTCCCGTAGTAATCACCCCAGCCGGCCCCGACGCACTCCGTCCGGTTGGCACAGCGATCGATGCAATTCGCCATGGTCGTCGCGTTCTCCGACGTCAGATCGATGGCGCCGTCTTCGCTGTTGTAGTCGTGGCCGCATATCAAGCGGAACAGGCGGTCCGGCTCCGCCTGCGCCGAGAAGGTCGAATTGTCAGAAGCCGGGCACGAGATGTTGGCCGTCTTTGTTGATTCAACTCCTGACGGGAGACTCCTGGAAGTTGTCAGCATACATGCACACAGTGACAAGAAACCGGAGAGGGGGCGGAACGAACCCTGACCCGCTCGACTTGTCCCCGGCCGGCTTCCGCCCGAACGCCAAGCCGGCCCCGAGACCGATGGCGATCGCCGCGACGACGAAGATGATGGCGACCGCCATCACGATGTAAAACACCTTGCGCCGCATCCCGCACACCCTCGGCCCCATCCCGAACCCGTCGACCGACTTGGACTCGGACGTCGTCGGCCGGTGATACCCCGCCGGGTGCAGCTGCTGCGTCCCGTCCTGGCTGCCCCCGTACAGCGTGCTGCTGTACCCGCCGGGGCTCATGACGGACGACGACGACGTCGGGCCGGCGGCGGCGACCTCGAGGCCCGGGTTCTTCTTCAGGTGGTAGTGGTGCCACGACGCCGGGTCGTCGGCGACCTGCGGCGTCGACAGCGTCCTGGCGTCGAGGTGAGGGTACGGCGAGACCTCGGGCAGCGGGACGTCGTTGGGGTTCCACGGGAGCGGGTGGACGACCTCGAGCCCGGACTCGTACTGATGCGGTTCCAGGTGTGGCCTCTTCGGTTCCTCCTTGGCTTTGAATATACCCAGGACCTTTTCCTTCACCGAGGGGCGGAACTTGAGGTTATCCTCCATCTTTGATTTCCGTTTCTCTCTTTTTTCCCTCTCGAGTTCTAGAAAACCCTCCTCCTTTCAATATCCGCCCCGGGAAACCCGTTTCCTTCAGGTTCCGGCAGATAGGTACAGACAGGAAACGCCAAGCTGTCTAGAAACCAGAAACCAGAAACCAGATTGCCGACAGATGTAGGTAGATAAGGAACCTCCTCCGCGGTGGGCTCGAGGCGCTTAAAATCCGGTGAGCGGGGAAGAAAAGGGGACTAGACGGTGCGCGAAGGAGTTTTGGGCGACAGGGGGACGGAGCTTATGAGGACCTGCATGGCGGTCGAAATGAGGTATGGGCAGAAGAAAAATAAGAACAGAGCAGAAGCGAAACAAGTTCAGGGAGCAGAAAAGAGAGCGAGGCTAGTTCTGTTAATACGGACGGGTTGGTTGTCAGACCGTCCGGGGTGTTGACGCCTCATTCGGGGATAGCTTGGCTCCAGAAAAAGATGACGGGGGGAGGAGAGTGTCAGAGTGAGACTGAAGACTTTCTACACAGCACAGCACCACCACTAATAAGCTAGAGGAAGAGGAAGAGAACCAGGAAAAACAGAGGTCCGGGTCTTTTCAAAGCATGGGGCTAGTAACAGTCAACTCATATCAGAAAACCGCTCGAAAATCAAGTAATGGGAGGTGATGCGCCGCAGACGGGCATGTTCCTTTGGTTTTGGTCCTCTCGTATCTCAGCTGACTTGTTCTGGAACCTCGGGCGACATCCACCCTTCGAGAGATCGACAAAGTATTTTGTTCAGTGCTCCGTATCAAGTTCTACAGACCCGGGACATTTTGACAATAAGCTGTCTCTGTCCGCCACTCATTTTACCTCTGCCCGCCTTGCCCAGCAGATCCCCTAAACTACCTACCTAGGCTTCATCCCACGCGGACCGTCAGCCCCAGTCATAGGGATTAGGGAAACGGCTCCAAGTAAGATGACACACACGGCATCGCGGCAGCCCGGAACGCCACGGCAGTTAGATTGGTTGTTTTACCACGAGGAAATCGAACCAACTCATTTCCAGGGTTCAGAAGCAAAACCATTCCGTTCTTCTCCTAGGAAACCTCCCCCCCAACCCCCTCTTTGAAGACGTGAGATGCAGTGCAGCAGTGCCCCCAAAATTAGATCGGATGTCAGCGTCGCGATGGCGGTGGATACCACTGGCACCAGCGGCGCCCTCTCAGCTGCGTTTTAGCGAGCAGGCGGTGATGAGTTGAAGAAAAAGTCCCGTCTGCGGAGAATCCATTGGCAGACGGCAGGCTGCAAGGGGGGACCTGCACACAAACCAATGAGATTCTGGGAGAAAGCTTGACTTGACGGTGGCGTGCCACAAGATGCAAGTCAGCATGTGCCGCTATTCCAGAGAAGGGGGGATGCGCTTTTGATGGACGCTTTTGTGCTGTGCTGTTGGCTGGCCATGTGGGATCCAGAGAGAGTTATATCGTGGTGGACCAACCCTCAGTCAGGGACGGACGATGTACAAAGTAACGAACCATGTGATTTGGTTCTGTTCATGGCGCGAGAACCCAGGGTCTCGCAAACCTCTTACGAATGAAGGGCTCTCGCGAATCTTCACTGTCAGTTCCAGATCTTTACAATGGACAGCCGGGAGAGCCTGCTATCTGAGAAGGCAGTATTGACCATCAGGTTAAACTACAGACTGACCAGCAATGCCGGGATTCAAGGGATCCGTCAGCCCTAGCTGTTTGCGAAGCTACCGACATGCTAAACCTAAGCGGCATGACTTTCCATGGACCATGAAACATGATAACTGCTAACGAGCACCGCCGTGTGGCTGTACCGAACCGACGGAGCTTTAATGGCACGGGGCGTTCAATGACTCCCGTTCCGAGGCAGAGGTGTGATGTACCGACGAGCATTAGACGACGCACTAGGTGATATTCTTCATCATTATATAGAAAATGGTGAAATTCTCTCTAGACTGAGACCAGGGCCGTTCGTCAAGCAGACATAACTCCCGAGCAAGTTCTTACTTGGTAATAACCGGTCTATTTTACCAATCATGTTCCAGAGCTGTCATGCTCTCGATGTCGTCTTCCTATAACGATTGTGTTTGTTGTGGATTTGGGCTTGTTCCAACCACAAACGCCCAGTTATGCGATGCTTTATAAAGCCCTATAAGCAACATGATGGTTTCCCCGGCTTGAATTTGGAAATGACACCCCAGAGACCTCCGAGAAGCAGATTTTGTGTTGACCCCTAAGCACAGCATGTAGTCCATCTCAATTTCCGAAATCCATTCCTTGCTATTCCGAGATGACGGTATAAATTATTCTCAAGTTGCTCACCAACTCTCATGATGATTAACAACTATAGCAAGAAGTTTACTCACGCACGCACGAGACGACTAAGGGCTCGGGAAAATATGAAGCACAATTATTTCCGCATTTAGTCGTCGGGCTAATATTGGACAGATCCACGGAAACACATCCAACATTATCAAGTTCATATCAATAAAAAGAGTCATATTAAACTCTATACTAGCCCATCCGGCTACTGAAGCTTTGTAAGTCTACTGGTAAACCCCCTACACCACTGCTCTGCTTCCCTAATCACTTTTCCTTGCCCCTCAGCGGGCTTTTTAATGGTAATATCACGTCCATACACGTACAATAGAAGCTCCCACGGGAGACCCAAGCCGAGCTCGAAGGGGAAAATAGAAGGAGGGTTGAGGAGGCTCTTCAGGAATGTTGCCTGCCAAGCCACGGGCTTTCTCATTGGTAATCGGCACGATTGTTCCCTCGGCCCTTCTTGGTGGAACGCATCATATGACGACCCAAATGTCCGACGATCCTTCTTATCGCGTCGTTCTCTTCTTTGAGGCCACCCTCCTTAGCTTTGCGGCCGCCCTCCTCAGCTCTGCCTTGGGGCTGCTAGTCCCACCGGGCGCTCTCCCGCTCGGCCTCCATCCTCCGCATCCGCTCTTCCTCTTCATCGTGGTTGACAGCCTCGCTGCGGCGTCCCTTCCTCCGGCTGCGCTTACCGTCGTCATCGCCGCCGCCGTCCCTACTGCGTTTGATACCGGCCAGGCCGGCCAAGCCCGCCATGCGTTGAGTCTCTTTGAGCAAGCGCTCGCGGTCCCTGGCCTCACGCTCAAGGGCGTGGATGTCTTTGGTGGGAGCAGGAGCAGACTTGATGTTGCTGACCGAGGCTTGAGAGCCCCGCCTGTCCTGCCTGTCGGATGATTTGCCAGGCTTCGAGCTCGCACCCCTGATTTCGAGACCCGATGCGCTGCCCCGAGGACCGGCGGGTGGGTTGAAGTCCTTCTCCACGGGCGTCGACGACTCGGGCGAGTGTTTGCGGCTGCTGCGGTGCCGGTGTTCGCGATCCCTGTGCTTGTCGCGCTTCCTGTCCTTCTCACGATCGCGGTCCCGATCCTTGCGGTCGCGGTCGTAGTCACGATCTCTATCGCGGTCCCTGTCCCGATGAGAACGATGGCTGGACTTGCGGTGGTGGTCGTAGTCCTCGTCCCGGTACTTGTCCTTCTCCCGGTCGCGACGTTTGTCGTCACGGTCCCTGCGACTTCGGTGGCTAGATCTCTTGGAGTCACTCGGGGAGGCCGACCTCGATCTCTCTTCGTAGCCGTCGTCCCTGGAACGGGACTTGGCGTCATCTTCGTCGCCGTATGATCCGTGCTTTCTGCTCTTATGCTTCCTGCGACGGTGATCATCGTCCCGGTCTTCGCGGTCACCGCGATCACCACGGTCACGGTCTCCGGCGACTGATCGAGTCTCCGAACGTCTGCGTCTGCGTCGGTGACGATCACCGCGGTCGCTGCGGTCGCCGCGATCCCCACGCTCGCTTTTACGCTCTCTGCTAGGTTCCCTGGTACGTGAGCGTGAGCGTGAGTGGTCTCGATCCCTGACGCTGTAATCTCTCTCTGATCGGCTGTCAGGTTCCCTCTCACGATCTCTGCTAGCTTCCCGTCGGCGGCTCCTGTCCTTATCCTTGGTGCGCGTCGAAGAGTTACTCCTAGATCGGAGTGGCTGCTCCACAACGGGACTCTGCGTGTCGGGGCCGTCTACTGGTGACTGCTGGGCCTGACTGTCCTGGACCATGAATCCTCTGGCTCGCAGAGTATGCAGGCTCGTATTCGGGAGGCCTTGACGCATAGCCTTGGGGCCAGTCGGAGCATTCAAAGGAACATCAGGAGGTGCAGATCCGAAACCCTGGTTCTGATTTGAGAATCCTGAAGGCCCATAACCTCCGGCCATTCCGTTTCCGTTATAAGCGGAGTATTCACCATCTTGTGCCACGAGTTTTGCATTTTCTGCGTGCTCCTGCTCTGATGCATCATGTGAACCCGGCTCGTTCCCGCCCTCGTTCACGGGTTTGGCGCCGTCTTCACCCTCTGCGTCTCTGTCGCCCCCAACATTCGACTTCTCGTCCTGATCCTTGTTGCGCTGGCGGCCGAACTCGTCCACATCGCCGCCAGCTTGATTCGCCTCACCGGTGCCTTGGCCGGGCACTCCGGAGCCGTACTGCTGTTGTTGGTGCATTTGGCCATGGTCACCGTAGCCGCCATACTGTTGATATCCGCCTCGACCATAGCCTCCGCCGTAAGAGCCGCGTCCCCTTCCACGTCCACGGTAGCCGTAGTTGTTGCGGCGGTAATCATTGAATTGGTGACCGTAATTACCTTGATTGTACCCTGACTGGAATCCTGAGTTATAGTTGCCAAAGTCACCAGATCCCATGCCAGCAGCATTAGCAGAATTGAAATTATCTTGGCCGAAATTCCATGACTGTTGCCCGTTCCAGTTATTGGAGCCTGAGCCGAAACCACCGCCGAAGCCTCCCATGCCCATGCCTTGAGCACCATAGCCGCCGTTCATGTACATGTTCTGCATCGCCATAGGGTCCACACCCATTCCTGGCATACCTGGAAAGCTGTTAGTGGCTGTAGGTAACCTGAACGAAGGAGGAGACGTACCCATCATTGGAAAGTTGCCAAATGAGTTCCCCATGCCGTTTTGCATGGCCATCATCATTTGCATCTGGTTGAAATCGCCAGATCCGTTGAAGCTCATGTTCGGGAAGCTTCCTCCGTTCATGGAGTTGAAGCTCATGTTCGGGTTCGTGGTCGCATCGTCGCCGTCGCCTTGGGCGTCGTTGTTCTCCGCATTATCACCATCTTGCTGCACGTCTCGTCGGGGAGCAGTCGCCGCGTCTTCGTCTCCTGTAATGATGACGGTCTCGTTATCATCGTCATCTCCCTTAGAGACAGGTTCCTGGTCACGGGTTTGCGCATCCTGGCCAACATGTCAGCGGAGCTCGTTTAGCGAAAAGATTGGGGGAAACACTGACCTCATCGTTCTGAGCAGCAGCTGCGTCAGCTTCGCCATTGTCGTTCGCTTCCGCAGAAGCCTCGACGTTAGAAGCTGCGGTGGCCTCCACAGGCGCCTTCTCGTCTGCGTTCGGAGCCGCGGGGGGCTGGGAGGGCGTCTCGGTAGCAGTAGGTGGTTCGGAGGGAGCGATCGGCTGCGATATCGGCTTCGCATCGACGGGTGTTGGTGGCGCAGAGGCCTCTTCCCTGGCTCGCGCCTCCTCGCGCTTCTTCTCTTGAGTTCGAAGGAAGACCTTGATCGTCGTTCGCAAGCTTTTGTGCGGCGTGCAGTCGTCGGCGGAAAGAGGAGAGTGCTCGCAGACCGGGCAAGACGAAGGCAGATTAGACTGGCCTGGTTCAAACGTCAGCAACTAGGTCGCAGCCGCGATGAGAAAGGGCATGATACTGACATGTCTCGCAAATGGCCTGCTCGCAGCACGGCAATCGGAAAGCGTTGACAGCCAGTTTGCTACAGATGGCGCATCGCAGCTTGATGGGTATATCGTCAGGCGCGAGAGAGCTGGTATCAGACCTCAGTTAGCACAGGCATCCGCACGCTAGCGAAAACCTCGACTTGCCTGATAAGCTCGGCCTGAGCTGGGGTGATTGACGAAGCCATGTCGCCGTCGATCGAGGAGGAAGAAAATCAAGACGAGAGATACATGGGCGTAAGTGGAGGGGTTCAAAAGTACAGCAGAAAATTCTGGCTACCGTCCGGTCGACGCTGGCCCGAAATATTAAATCGAAAAGGAAAACAAGAGGGCTTCTTCTCAGCGTGTCGCGTAGGACACAGTCATGTCGGCAGACGTGTTGCTGGGGGCGGTTGTTTGCGCAGAAAATCGGCTGTAATAAAAGATTCTGTGGTGACGAGGAGTTTGAGGTGGACGAAGGCGCGGGAAGACAGAAAAAGAGTGGGACGCGTGGGCGGTGACCACCCAATCAGGCATCTTCATTCACCATCTCAACCTGCCTGTTTTACAGTGCCTACCTCGAAACCGGGCCAATTTTTACAGGTAGAGAACGCCGGTTTCCACAGGGACAGCACCTCCCAGAAGTACGTGGGTTCAGTCATAGGCTGAATTTATTAATCCCGACTTTATCTTGCGAAATTTGTTAAGGCGTATCATGCTGCTTGGGGAATGATTCATATGAATAAACATGGTCTCAGTGTACCTGAGAGCTGGCACCTATTCACTTAAAGACAAGGTAAATAGAATACTTGTTCGAGTCGGTCACCGACGGCCGTGTTGCACTGACACTGACACCGACACCGGCAACGGTCACCAGTCAGCGTTGACTTACTCGCCATTAGCAATGAATAAGCCCAGGTTGTGAACCGCAACAGCATCACACGAGTTGCAGCCAGAGCTAAAAGCCCTTCAAGTGTCTTTGAGTGTATGAGATTCCCGTCTACATAATGCACTTACGACTATCAGTTCCAAACTGACCCTGCCAAATCCATATCAATGTCTGTCTTCAGCGTCCTTGCGGAAATACAAAACCACCATGTTACACGAACGGACGGGCAAGCATGGAAGGGGGCCCGGTGTGAGAGCGGAGAAACAGCACACTGATACCTCTGGTGAACGTGTGAACCATTACCTTTCCTTCCTCCCACCCGAGAACCCCCATAACGCTGCCGGATGGACGCTTCCCATAATAAACAATGAACCCTTGTAGCAGCAGAAATGCAGCGCACGACAAGAACTTAGAGACTCCCAAAATAAAAAAGTAATAAAAATCCCCTCTTCGCCAAGTTCGTCCCGGGCTTGTCAAACACACTCTCGTTCGTCGTCGTCATAATCAGCAAGCGCATCCCTCCTTCGCCGCAGCGTCTCTCGGGCCCGTGAGGTTGACCCGCTGTTCCTCCCCGCCCCGGGTCACGGCATGCGACGCACCGGCGCCCCTTGCGCTCTTCAGCGACGTCTCGGGAATAGCGTTGGCGATCGCGGTGAAGACTTCCGTGACGTTGTGTCCCGTCTTGGCACTAGTCTCGAAGAAGAGCAGGCTCTCCTCCTCGGCGTACGTCTTGGCCTCGTCCGTGGACACCTTGCGGGCGTCGCCGCCGGAGCCGGACTCCTCGTCGCCGTCGGCCTCATCACCACCCTCACCGGCCGATCCGGCCTCTCCCGCGCCGTTCGTGAGATCGAGCTTATTGCCGACGAGGGCGATAACGATGCCGGGGGAAGCTTGCCTCTGGAGCTCGGCGACCCAGTGCTTGGCCTTGATGAGGGACGTGGGCTTCGTGAGGTCGTAGACGACGAGGGCGGCTTGGGCGTTGCGGTAGTACATGGGCGCCAGCGAGGCGAAGCGCTCTTGGCCGGCGGTATCCCAGATCTCGAACTTGATCGTCCGGGTGGGCAGGTTGCACTTTTGTGTCAGGAAGGCGGCTAGAGAGCAAGGGGTTACGGGTTAGCTGCAAAGGTTCCCTCGATCGCGGTGTGTGTTGCCAAGAGGCGGCGACTTTTTGCGTACCTCCAATGGTGGGCTCCTTGTTCTCTTGAAAGTCGTTGTTGACGAAGCGCAAGACCAACGATGACTACGAGATACGAGTTAGTGATGCCTCATATCGATAGGTCGGATTGCGTGGTCGTACCTTTCCAACTGCAGCTTCACCGAGCAGGACCAGCTTGACGCTGCTGCTCGGCTTCGGGGCACCGCCGGATCCGTCCATCTTTTTGTCGGGTGTAGGAGTCGATAACGACTGTCCCTTGTTCTAGAAGAAAAAGGGTATCTGGGTGCGAATACGAGCGATTTCGAAGATCGGTTGGGATGGGATCGGACAGCGATGGGGTTTTGCTGCCTTTTTCTTTCGCGATGGGTTGACAGTGTGGTTTGTTGGTAAGACCGGTCGGTAGGTAGAGTGATACGTAGGACCACAGCTCGTCCACTGAAACAACGACTGGGTGAAGCGCAACAATGACGAAGCGCCCGACCCCCCGAGAAGGCAGCCACGGAGGTTGGCCAATGCTCTTGCCCGCAGCTCCAATTATCAGAGGGGCAGCGGAGAATCTGATCCGCCGCCGTTCCGCACCTTCCAATGGTGGAGGTTGCCAGGAGGCCCCGCCAAAAATTCCATCCTTGCGCCGAGCAGGGTACAGTGTAGCAGTGCAGCCGGCTCGCGCTGGGCGGCAGAAAAAAAAGTTCCTTGACCACCTTGGACCGTTGATTCGGGAAGCGCTGCCAAAGGCTTTTCGCAGAGACCCTTCCATCGAAAACCCCCTCCTCGATTGGCATCTGCACGTGCGAACAGCAGGGAAATCCGGCAACATGGCGCCCCAACCCACAAAAGAGTCGGTGCCGAAGAAGGTCAACCTTCTGGACGAAAGCGATTCGGACGATGAGGATGGAGGGGCAGATATCGCGATGCCGCAGTTGAAGGTCAACGAGGAGTATGCGAAGCGCTTCGAGCACAACAAGAAGCGGGAGGAGATGCACAGGTGTATGTTACGTTCCAATTGTACTTCTTTTGTACCACATGCTGACATGACACAGTGGAGGAAAAGTTCAAGAAGACCGGCAAGAAGGAAGACAACTCCGACGACGACTCCTCATCCTCCGACGAGACCGAAGACGAGGACGGTTTCCTAGCCACCGAAGACCTCGACGCCCAAATCTCCGCCACCCTGAGCGCCATCAAGAACAAGGACCCCCGTCTCAATGACAAGGACTTCACCTTCTTCAAGGAGACCACCAACGCCTCCGAGCCGACCCCCTCCAAGAAGAAGGAGAAGCCCATCTACCTCAAGGACTACCACCGCGAGAAGATCCTGGCCGGCGGCGTCGGCGAGTCCGACTCGGAAGACGACGCGCCCCCGAAGACGTACGCGCAGGAGCAGGACGCCCTCAAGAAGTCCATCGTCTCCGAGATCAACAAGGCGGCCGAGTCGGACGAGGAAGAGGGCGACTTCGTGACGAAGAAGCCCGGCCAGGAGAAGCCCGACTTCAGCCAGGACGGCGTCCACCCCGAGCGCGCGGTCAAGGTGTACAAGGGCAACAAGAAGAGCAGCAAGAAGGCCATCACGGAGGAGGACATCGCCAACGCGGACAAGGACCCGGAGCTCTTCCTGTCCAACTTCATGGCGGCGCGCGCGTGGGCCGAGGGCGGCGAGCACAACTGGAAGGCCTTCGACTCGGACGACGGCGACGACGGCGAGGGCGAGCTCGCGGACAAGTTCGAGGAGGCGTACAACCTGCGCTTCGAGGACCCGGAGAAGTCCAACCAGGCCCTCAAGACGTACTCGCGCGAGATCGTCAACGCGCGCACCGTGCGTAAGGAGGCCGCCAGCTCGCGCAAGAAGGCCCGCGAGGCCGAGAAGGAGCGCAAGGAGGAAGAGAAGCGGCAGCGCAAGGAGGACAGGGCCCGTCTGCGCAAGCTCAAGCTCGAGGAGGCAGAGGAGAAGCTCAAGAAGATCAAGCAGGCCGCCGGCCTGAGCGGCAAGGAGCTTGCCGAGGACGAGTGGCTGCGGTTCCTCAACGACGCGTGGGAAGACGACAAGTGGGAGGACGAGATGAAGCGTCGCTTCGGTGAGGAGTACTACGCCGAGGTCGAGGCCGGTTCCGGTTCCGACGACGAGGACGGTGACGAAGGGGAAGACAAGAAGAAGAAGCGCAAGAGGCCGAAGAAGCCTACGTGGGATGACGACATCGACATCAAGGACATCATCCCCGACTTCAAGGACGAGGAGCAGCCGAACATCACCCTCTCAGACGACGAGGGCGCAGCAGAAGGCGCAGAGCAAGAAGACGACGACGACGACGAGGAAGACGAGGACGGCCGCCCGTCCAAGAAGCGCAAGACCTCAAAGGACATCAAGAAGGAGCGCCTGGCCTCCAAGAAGGCGGCCAAGGCGGAGCGCGCCAAGCTCGAGGCCCTCGTCGACGCCAAGATGGACCTCGACGTCCCCGAGGCCTCGTCCTCGTCCTCCAAGACGCCCGAGATGTTCGGCTTCCGCTACCGCGAGACGTCCCCGACCTCCTTCGGCATGACGGCGCGCGACATCCTACTCGCGCCCTCGGACGCCGCGCTGAACAGCTACGTCGGCCTGAAGAAGCTCGCCCCCTTCCGCGACGAGGAGAAGAAGCGCAAGGACAAGAAGCGCCTCAGCAAGAAGGACCGCATCAGGAAATGGCGCCGCGAGAACTTCGGCCCCGAGTACGAGCGGTCGGGGCCGACGTTCGGGTTCGAGGACGCCACGTTCAAGGAGAAGAAGAAGAAGAGCAAGAAGGCCGAGGCCCCGGCGAAGGAACAGGGCGCCGAGGAGAACGTCGAGGACGGCGGCGCGAGTCTCAGCAAGAAGCGCAAGAGGTCCAGGGGGAAGAAGAAGGAGGGCGTGGTAGCGGAGGAGTGAGCCGCTGTTGGTAGTACGTGGACGACGGCGAACAATATTTGATACTTTTATTTATTTTGTGTACGCGTAAATATTTGGGCCACCGGGATTAGAAAAATAGTCTTTAGACACAACGATACCATGCACAGGTTTTCTCAAGCTGGGCGGGCACGAATGTAACTGTCAACAGTATACGTGTGTTCGCGTTGTGTCCATGGTGCTGGTGATGATGGTATCTCATAACTATATCGGAATCGCTACGCTACCCAGTAGATATTTTGCCCCCCTTCCCAATGATTTCCGGCCCATCATATAGTCATTAGCAAGATCGAAAGAAATAAATCCAGGCATATACATTTAATACAGGGCCCAAAGGCACACCCGGTGCGCAAAATCCTTTGCTGCCGGAACCGTTGTGTCACGGTAATAAATATGACGATAGTTTCTTCTGATGAGCTCGTTCGTCATCTCGCGCCATGATGCAGGCCGTTGCTGAACATGTTGCCGAACCCGTCTAGATTCATACCCATGTCTTGCCCGATCTCAGGCGGCTCCATGTTGAACGGCATGAACCACGCAGATGACGCCTCCTGCCCGACAAAGCCCATGCCGTCTGCGTGGCCAGCGCCATGTCCGCCCATACCGTTGGCATGACCTCCGCGCTGAGGACGCGACCGAGAGCCCTCGCGATGAGATCCGGAAGCGCTGTGAGCGCTCGAAGGCATGCCGTCCCAGTCGATGCCATCAAAATGGCCCATGTTGCCTGGTTCCATCGAATAGCCGCCGAAGACGAGTTGCCGGTCGAGGGGTTGGAGGATGCCGTTCTGCTGGTTCAACGACATGCTGAGCAATTCGGGCGGGTAGAAAGCGGTTGGTGTTTGGTGATGGTGGCCGAATTGGCTGACGGCAATCGGACTAATGGGGGAAAGGGCGTGGTAGTTCGAGCCTTGAGAGTGAGGTACAGAGAGGGGGTTGAAGCTGGCAGGGCCACTGGTCTGGCCGCCGAGTGTGCCGGACATGTTTCGTTGATGTTGCATGCGAGCACTCAGTTGCTCTTGAGCTGACGCGGCGATATTTTCCGTCGACAGTGGTTCGAGCTGGCTTCCGTCGGATCGCAGACCCGATGTGCCTATTTTCTTGCCTGCGAACGACTTCCGCTTCGCCGCGTTTGGCCTCGACGTGTTGCCTTCTGTGCTTCGAGGGGGAGACAGAGTGGTGAAAAACTCCTCAACGGTGTGCAGCTCCGGCTTCTGCTCCAATACTGCGTCATCGCCCTTCTCCTTCTTCTTAGTTGTTGCTGGGTCAGAAAAGTCGGACTGTGACACGCCATGGGGATATCGGTCGAACCAGTCACCATATTGAAAGATTGGCGATGCCGTCGATGCATCCTTCGATTGGGATCCTCCCCTAGCAGCATCCGCGCAGGTTCGATATTGCTCCCGGAGGTTTTCGGACATGTAATGGAACATGCCCCAGTACCTCTTCATCTTGGACAGAAACTTGACATTGGTTGCCAGATTTCTCTTAGACGCCGCTTCTACGGCAGGATTGCCGGAGAATATGCCCAAGATGTGGATGGTGCCCGACGAGAACGCACAGTAACCAACAAACGGAGCTGTTACCATGTAGGACTCGGCATCTTTGAGGACCTCGGAGATGCGATTTGCAGCCGCGAACGTTTTATCCCCGGCCTTGGCCACGAACTCCCGAGGTACGTCCTGAGCCACCGGGCTGTTGGGCGTCGCAACTGCTACTCTGTTCAGGAATAAGATGTTCTGCTGCATAGCAATATGAAGGAATAGGTACTGGTTCGCCATCTTCTCGGTATCGTGCAACTGAAGGTTCTCCGGAGAATACTTGAGGAAGTCAGGGATGTTGTTCAGCTGATCTTCCGCATCCCGAATCAAAGTCGCATACTGGGACTCCGGACTCCAGATGGGATGAGGGTCAAGCTCCTTTCCTCCCTGATTCAGATACGTGATAATCTTGCCCCAGATGGCGATCGTCTTGATCATGTGAGCAGCAACCCCCATGTTCTCTTTCGGATCTGCGAGCTGGCCGTCCTCTGCGGATACCGGGTGAGGAACTTTTCCCCTCAAGGTTTCGGTCGGAGCGGGCATGTCGAGCTGGAAGTACTTCTCCTTGATAGGTAGTGGAATCTCGATAGTTTCCTCCCTCACGAACGTCGGTCGTTCTGTTCCTGATGAGTTGAAACGGTCCATGAGGAAACAGGCCCACATTGTTCTCCTTCGTATCTCCCGGTCGATAAAGCTTAATTGTGACGACCCATTTCGGTTCAGGGGGTCATGATCCAGGTCCTTGTGGAGTTGCAAAGCAAACGCCATGCGGATCGCTTGCCCGCCGAGAGCCCAGCTCCTGCCGCCATGGCAGGTGCCGAATTCGTGCAGACCAAGGATCAAGAGACAGGTCAGAATAGTGATGTTGGGCCACTCATAGCGTCTGGTGCATATGTCTCTGGCGTGCGAGGCCCATTCTTCTCCGCGCAGAAAGTTCGGTGAAGAGCTGTTGAGTTTCGGGTGACTGGAGAAGCGAGCTGCAATGGCACAAACGGACAGGACAAGGACTGGCGGCAGCGTACCGGCTCTGCAGAACTATTTAGCACAAGCCGACAAATTCATTCGTGCGACGTACCTAAGCTTTCTCATGTAGCTCGGCTTGTGGAGCAAGTGATACGCTTGACCGTAGATGTTCTCGAAAAAGACCTCAGCCAAATGCTCCTGAAGCTCCTTGGGCGGAAGTGCGTCGAGGCCCTCAAGGAATAGTTTATTCTCCTCCGCCTCCTGGGCTTGCAACGTATTCGGCTTATTGGGGGCTTCAAGCCTCGTCTTAGCAGGGGCCTTCGCCCAATGGTCGAGATCCTGGCCAAAGGCTTCTTCGGCACCTCTCTTCTTGGCGTTGGCTTTGCCAGCTGGGACTGAACCTGGGATTGCCGGTTTGACGACGGCCCGTGTAAGTGACGCCGCGTTCGAGTCCTGTTCGTTCTTCGGTACAATTTTGATGATGCGCTCCTCCATGCGCTTGAGTCGTTTGTCCAACATGGCCATGTAGTCGGTGCGCGGTGCGGCCTTCCTTGTCGTTACTTTGTACACGCATGGGATTCGTGACCGGAGGCAGTGCTTGCAGGCAGGCTTCTCGCCTGAACACCGAATCTTTTTGCGTCGACAGGCGATGCACGCCAATGGGAGTCGTTTCCGCTCCTTGCCTGCCTTGGTCTTCAGCTCACTCCACGCTGGCGTCTGGTCAGTCTTGTCGTCCTTCGACTTTGACAGGTCAGAACCGTTGCCGGCAGTCTGCGTTGGTAGACCGAATTCATCGGCGCCGGCATCCTCGAGCGGATTGGGTTCGGCGGGATCGTTGTCTTGGCTGCCGTCTTCCGAGGTTATGATGCTGTGCCGCCGCTGGTCCATGGCTCGGCCGTAGGACACGGGCATGACGGTGATTGAATTTTGGCGAGCGGCGACGGAGGACACGGAGGGCCGGTGAGACGTCGGAAACATGTCGGCGGCGTGGTCCGGTTCGCCGAGGAACATCATGGCATTTTGGTCGTTGAGGTCGTGAGGGTGAGGCGGGAAGGAAAAGTCCTCGGCAAAGTGAGCGGCGTCGACCATACTTTGGGAGGCGCTGTTGGACCGCATTCCGTCATTTGGGGTTCCTGAAGAAAAGGGCTGATGAGAGGTAGAGGAAGTTGTTATATGTGATTGAGCGCCAGGCGAGTCCAGACCGTGCTGCGAGTAGTCGAGACTGACAGCTCTGAGTTGTTGAGTTTGGAGCTGCTGCAGACTAGATGACATTGTCCTTTGTCATCTGGGGGAACAAGGGAAGATCAACGAAGGGGCGACGGTGGAAGAAGACGGTCCCGAGCGAGCTGGGTCCCCGCACACGCCGGCGCAGAGGACGGCGTTCGTCCCTGTCCCTGTTTATGCCTTCTGACCGTGGTATAAGTGCGAGTTGTGGGGGTCACAGCGGTCGCAAGAGGGCAAAGAGCATGACACGGCGGGAAGAGTCGTGTTGGTCCGGAGTGTTCCAGTCGCGTGTCTGCGGGAAGCCGTGTTGTTGTTCCGAAAATTGAGTTGTCGAGGTTGAAGTTGAAACTGAGAGAAGAATTGAAATTGTGTGAATGGGTGGGAACAAAGCTCAGGTCCTTTTCGCGCGTCTGGGTCTGGGTCTGGGGGCGGGGAAGGGAACGGAGAGGCGGAGGCGTAGGCGTCGAGATTGTCGGAGAGAAGAAATTCTGACTCGGCGGTCATTGAACAGCGAAAAAAGAGAGTAAGAAAGAGGAGCGCAGCAGTAGCAGCAGCGCGACCAGAAAGACCCAGGGCGAAAACCAAACCAAATGGAACCAAACCACACCCAGATTTTGCGATTTGAGAGGAGATGGGGAACGTCGCCGGTTTGGAGTAAAAACTGGGGTTGTGGTTGGGGAGGGACAGCCGGCCGGGGAGGGGGAGGGGGGTGAGGAAAGGGCACCGTGGGTGAGGCGTGTGGTAATAGGCCGCTTCTGATTGCGTGGATGTCAGATCGACGACGATGACTGGCTGACGGGATTTCTAGAAGTGGACCTTGCTACAGGCCCAAAGGCGTTTTCGGCGGTCTAATTGTGGGGTTGCTGCAGACCGGATGCTGCTGGTCGATGCCCAGGTGCAGGCAGGTGCAGCTGCTGCGCTGTGCTGGAACGCCGCCGCCGGGGAGAAGAGAATTGGGGCGTTTTAGGGTCGTCTGCACTTGCGGGTACCTTCTCTTCTTCGTCACAGACAATCCTGGTGCCTTTGAATCTCTCCACTGGCAGCAGAGGTACTTGACAACTTGAGTAGATACTCAGGTACAGCACACACCACACAGACACGCAGCAGTGAGGCTGGCGCTGGCGTTGGCGTTGAAGCTGAAGCTGGCGTCGTGAACTTTCTGTCACTGTCTCTGGCTGTGCCAGACCTTGTCTTAGTGGAGCTTCTTCTCCAAGTCTGACGGGAACTCGTCGTCCCCGTGAGCTTCCACCGAGGGGCCAAATGGAGTCGGAAACTGGGGAACCCTATATCTCTCGCTGAGCTGCAGACGGCCACGAACCGACAGCTGACAGGTTCTCACCGTGGGGTAAGTGGGTATGATGCCGCTCTCCTGGTTGACGTGCCTGTCATGGAAGGTAGCGGCGGCGGCTTGATGGCTGGCTGGCTGGACGGCTCAATGGCTCGGTCCTCAGCGGCTCTCTTGCCCAGTGCAGCCAGGAGAAGGGGAGGAACGACGTGGATCCAATGTAGGCGAGCCCGAGCTAGTTCTGGGCTGTAGCTGCGTAGCTTCGACGGCGTGAGACCCTCTTCCTTTTCAGGACGAGACTCTTTGCTGGTTTTGGACGAGTTGAAGAGGGAGCTAGCGGTAGCGACAATACTGGTCTAGAATTGTGACGTCCAGGAAGACTTGCAGTCGATGCATCGAAGATCTGCCAAGCTTTTACTGAAAGCGCAGAAGCAGAAGAAGAGGGGCGCGGGGCTTTATAAGAATAGAAAGGCATCTACGTAGTAAGCCAGAAAAGGGGCATTGAAGACGATTAAAACAATGACTTGTGGGTAGGAGGTAGAGAGATAAAGTGAGTTGCGCGCAGCAGCATACTACGAAAAAGAAATGAATATCCTAGCGACTAGTACAACCCCAAGATCCCAGGAATAGAACACATTACTTAGTACAGACGAGAACTCTGAGAACGATGTGAATGTGACTTGCAGATGCCCGACATCCAGGGTCCGTAGCTCGTGAATGTATCTTCAACTTTGTAGCCGCGTACATTGGTGTGGTCGATGAAGATCCGAGACGAACACAGCTAGTGCTGGTATGCTGATACATCATGCTTCAACGCACTCTCCTCAGGACATTTGCTGCCCTTGGTAAAAGGTTTTTTTTGCCCCTGATCGTTTCTCAGGGAGTCCTGTGCGCGACGTCCTTGTTGCCTGCTCCCCCATGTCTGCTTTTCACTTCTGAACTTCTTGCTTCTAGAAGTAAAGCCCTTGAACCTGGAAGCCGATGCAGCTGAGGATGCAGATGAGATGTTCTCCAGGCGTCCCGGTCCAAGACCCACGACGCGATGGCAGTGCGAACAGTTGTGGATTCACCAAAGAGGGTGGGGGGCCGGGGCCGTAGGAAGTGGAGGCGTGGAGTCGAAATGGCCCTGGAGGACGTGCCAAATCAGGGATGGATCGGGGGATGGCCGGAAGGCTGGTGGGTCCTGAGCGAGGCAACTTCCGAGACTCTCCCGGTGCGAGTGGATATATGCGTCGTGCCAAAATGAGATGCTATGCAGACGCGATGCGATACACATCCACGAGCCGTTGATATTCCCCTGGAGCCTCAGCTGTGACCGTCAAGTATGGGTAGCGCCTTAATAAGAGCTTAGCCGTCCCACCAACTCTGGTACAACGCGGTTTCGTGTAAGAGATGCAGATGGCGTCGAAGAGATGATGCTCGACGAACAGAATCGAAGTAAGATTCATTGTATCAAGGTCCTCGGAGAGGTTGCCACCTTTTTCTTGCCGTTGTTGTTAAAAAGCCGACGAGAAATGCTGCATTTCTTATTATACGAGTATCGGTTATGGTATCCAATGTAGCAAATATTCATTTTGCGCGACGTAGTGGAAGGCAATGGCTATGCTATCACAGTCCATCACGTCGAATTCGACTACATCTGGGCCGCACCCAGGTGACCGACCGGCCATGTGCCTGCACGGGAACGGCGCTGGCAAGATGGCATCCAGAGAGCTGGTTGGCCAGAGCTGAATCCATACCCTGGGCCTTTTCACTAGTTATGGTTGGCCATCAGACAGTCGAAGTCTTTTTCACTCTGTCAGCGAGCGCATGGCGACATCTTTCAGCAAGGTGCCATTAGACCTGCCACACCACTGGCGGCGGCAACTTCCACCAAGGACGGTGAGAACGGGGCGGCAGCGGCCAAGGGATCCCAGGTTGCGACCAGAAGCAAGAGCTGCAGGCTTGTATCGGTTTGAGCACATCCGTGTTTGCCCGCGCTGGCCCAAACTTTACGCAGCATTCTCTTCAGTTCCGGTGCTATTATTTGCTGCAGACAGTCGTGTTCGTTAGAGTGGATTTTTGAGCACGTCTACGACGGATCTGTACGGGATGACATCTCGACTGCGACCATTGTAGAGCAGGTAATGTATAGGTTGACTTCGAAGACGGGCAAGCTTTGGGTAAAGCAGGACGAGGTTTGTCGAAGTTGCCGCTAGCTCGGGTTTCAGCGGCGGAAAATGAGACGGGGCGTATGTGTAGGCTGGGCGCTTTGTTTGACCGAAGTTGGATTTTGGAACTAAGTGAAATGGCATCTTGCGACTTGGAAGCGTATCCGTGTGTTGCGGTGCCTTGATTGCTTGGGTTTTCATTTCGTTGACGACCCTGGACAACGATGCGCAAGGTTGGGTAGAATTGCTGGGCTCCAAGTGGGAACGCAAGACGATCTGCTACAGGATTTAGAGGCTAAAGTTGGTGCAGAGGACGTCATCCGGCCAGATCAAGGATCAGGTAGGGCGTCCGTAGGCTCTCGGTGAGATGGCCTGGGATATTCAGTAGTGTTGTCTACCTTACTATGTAGACGCAGTGAAGAATGACAGCGATGATGACCCGGAAGCGAGGGGTGCCGATGCCAAAGCCGTGAGGAGTGTGGCGCTTCATCTCGAACGGTCGAAATTCGGGGTTGACGAGTCGACGAGTGGGAGAAAAAGTAGAGGAGGGGAGTGGTAGATCGCGATATGTCTGAGCGATGATAGGACGAGCGGCATGTGGAGGATGCTGCAGATGCACAACAGCGGCGAAGTGCAGTGCTGAGTGTGGAGGAAGCGGATTCCAAGTCAAGGTCCAGCTTCTGGTGATAGAGTTTACTGCGGTATCCGTACGCCTTGAACATTACGAGTGATTATGTAACGACGACATGAGGGGTCAAACTTGGCAGGACCCGGCCTGGACTCCACTGACCAGCCACCAAATGTTTCGTTCGAGGTACGTACCTCGCGTGTCTTCAAAGTTCAACCTCAGGAGCCCTAAGCCTAGACCGGCACGCCAGCAGCTGCCATTTCGTAGGAGAAAGGAAATGACAGAAGAATGTCTTGTCCGTGTCTCTGTCTGAGCCTTCAATCGAGGCTTGCTGAATTGAAGACAATTGAAGCCGCGAGGTCCGTTCTTTCTCAGCCTCTTTGCTAGTCTCCTTGGCTCGGTGTTGGCCACTTACTTCCAGCGGATATCCCGCCTTATATCAGTTCACCTCCTGTTGAGATATTGCCCGTTAGTTATCTCGACATTACCTCCCATCTTCATTTCCATGTCTCAATTTTGTACCTCGGTTGAGTTGGAGTACCTAGCGCACCAAAGGTTGGCGGGCTTATTACAAAGCTTCAGCAAGCAGGGGCTAACCTGTTCAACCTGTTGTCAATCCAGCGTGTCTGTACGGATACAGAAAGTCGAGAACATGTGCGGTACGAGAGCCCTAGAGCGGTAACGCGCTTGGCTGAAGTCTGACGGGCGTCCAAAGTCAGCTTCCATTCCAGCTTTCAAAACACCACGCCTCATTGAAGACAACAGAGAGTTTTCGTTCCTGTATGACATGGACGAATCCAAC